CTCGTACAATAATACGATTATCTTAGAAGTCTATAGAGATTCAAAAATCTTACATGACTAAAAGATATAATTGATAAATATGATTACAATTTAAATACATTAATTTGATTAATTAATTTTTCTAAATTGTGCATTATATCATTATTTACAAAAATTATTTATTTATTATAAAAATTGAGAATCACTACATCTGAGAGGACTTGTTATCTCACACGATGATGTGACTAATTTAAGTTTTTATGAAGATTCTTGAAATCTCACATGAAACTCAAATAAATTTTTAATTTGAATTATAAAAAGAGAGTTAATTTTAATAATGGGCCTTTGAAACCCATATTAATATATAAGTTTTACTCTGATATCTGTAAAACCTTATTAATTTACATGAGACGAGATTATCATAAATATCTACAGAGATCCAAAGTCCTACATAATAAAAAGATTAAATAATATTCACTTTAAATATATTTTAATGCATAATTATACAACGCATATTTTTAAATATAGAAATCTTAATCGTTATACCTACGAAGCTTTATTAACTCACACAATAGTATGATTATTCTAAAGGTCTATAGAGTTTCAAAAATCTCACATGACCAAAAAATCTAATTAGAAAATGTGATTATAATTCAAATTTATTAATTTAATTAATTAAAATCATGAAAAATGTTTGTTATTTTATTCACAAAATTAATTTATTTAATTACCATATAAATTGCGAATCACGATATCTGTGAGGATTTATTATCCTACACGATAAGGCAATTAATTTGAGCATCTGCAAAGACTCTTTAAATCTTACATGATACTGTTAAACATTTTATTGATTTAAATTATAAAAAGAGAGTTAATTTTAATTTTAAGCCATTAGAACCCATCTTAAATATGCAATTTGGATCTTTATACTTGTAAAATCTTATTGATTTACGCAGTATGAAATTATTCTAAATGCCTATGAAGATTCTTAAAATCTCACGCGACAAATAGGTAATCAAGATATTTGCATTTGTAGTCGGTGCATAATATGAATTTAGCATTCAAAGGAATAGAGAAAAAAACTATTTTGACACTTCACCCCCTCTTTTGACTTAAGGATGTATTCTTTAAGATTTTTTAAATTGGCTTAATGCTCAGATATGACTTTCAAAAGGAAATAATGAGAGTCGTGGTTATAGCATTTGACAATTAAAATAAACAAGATTCACATATCATCACCATCATTAATCACCCAATTTATTTCTCATGAAAATCAGAATCAAGTTGATGTCTTAAAATTATTTGTGAATAAACAATAGTTTCATATTAGACATATGCATACTCTTAATTTTTTCAAAATAATATAATCATCTGAATGAATAAGGCAAGCATATAAAATTTTTGAAAGAACTACAAAATTTTAAACAAGAAAGAACTAAATCAAAGCCATGACCAAGTTGTGTGTGTAAAAGGTGATTATAAAGAATGAAACAAAATTATACCTCACATTGCACATCGATCCTACTTTTCTTGTACTTAACGTATAGATATTTTGAAAACAATTGATGCATGTTTTTGTACCTTAATTAGATTATTCAAGAGCTCGTCATCTTTCTTAGGCCACAAGTCACAGACAAAAGGAGCATTCATATTGGTTCAGTACAGCTTCATCTTTCCTGCATCAAACCAGTCTTTGTTTCTTATTTTCTCGGCCTTTCTCTTCTTGCTTCAACTTTCTGCTCCGTATCCCTTTTCTATCCCTCTCTCATCCGTCTCTCTTTCTTCTTCTTTTTCTGCTTTGGAACTTTTTCTCCTTCTCTCTTTCATTCTCTATCTCCTTCCCTCTCTCGTTCTCCGTCTCTCTTTCTTCTTCTTTTTCTACTCGTCCATTCCCAGTTCTCTCATTCTCGGTCTCTCTCACTCTTGCGTTCTCAACTCATTCTAGCCTAAAAACCCACATCCGGAGGCATGCAACTGTCTCTGCCTTTTCTTCTTTTCCATCTGTCCTCGTGCTTGTTTTCTTTTTTTAACTACTCTCAGTCTCTCTCATTCTTTTTCCATCTGTCCTTTTTTTTTTCTGCTTTGTTCTCTGTGTGTTTGTTTTCTGCATTTCTCTCAATCTCATGCCAAAATGCACGTGCTGGGCATTTTGCTTCTTTTCTCATTTCCTCTCTCAAGCTCATGCAACATGCACGTTCTGCTCTTCTTTTTTTTTTTGTTTATTAACTTCAAGAATTAGAATAAAGAAAGAAGAAAAAAAATTAATTTTGAGTTAAACTAGAATATTTTTTTTTCTATTTTTTTTTGTGACAAACAACAAGATTTAAGGAAAGAAGAAAAAGAAAATTAACTCTCAAAAGTTGATTCCCAATATTTTGAATGGTTGGGATAATTTGAAAGAAATTTTAAAAGATTTAAATAAGATTTTTTTAATTATGTTAAATTATTATTATTATATATATATTTTTGAAAATATAATCCTAAAAAGGATTAAATTTTATTTTTATATTTTTATATTTTTTTGCTAGTTTTATTATTATTTTTATTAAATTTAAAAAATGTCCGGGCAAAATACAATATTCACACTTGAAATAAATTTTAATAGGATCACAAGTGGGCCATTTATGCCATGTTACATTCAAGTATGAGATGTTTATCCAAAATGTAATGATTAATCAAAAGCCAAGAGTGCTATCTAAGTTAATACATAAGCCAAAAACAATAGCAGATGAAAATGAGAAATTAGTCTAAAAAGTTATTAATGAAGCAAAAAAAATAATGGCATGAAACATTTTTCATAAATTTTGAATTGAATCACAAATGCCATGCTTTTTGAAAATAATTGTTTTTGATAGCTTTCAACTAAATCTAAGGTAATGAAAATAATTAACACAACAAGGCAAATTGATTTTGATATCCATTGAGCAACCTAATATTTACATTTTACCAAATAAAACAATGCTATATATTTGGTTTGGAGAACAAGAAGAAGAAGCTAGAATGAGCCATGGGAATTAGTGAAAATTTCACATAACCACGAACATCAACAAACAGGTGTGGTCTAAAGAAGTAACATTATGAAGAGCTATTTAAAATTTCCTAAATTAAGAAAGCACACTTCTCAAGATGTTAGCAAATATGTCATTTAGTTATTCATTAAACTAAAAATACAAAGCATTAGTATAACCCAAAGAACAGCACAAATAGCTTATGCACCAATTTAACTTGATTTCCATGAAAGAAAAAAAAACTAGAAGAACCAAGAGTTTCCTTCACTTCAATTAAATATTAGGATGAAAATAAAGAGAAAAGAAAGTAGAGGTTATTTGTATATCCTAATGTAATAGGCTTACTCAAAAAACTATCATTCTAAGTTTTGGTTGAAGAATTTAAGTTTCCATCATAATAGTTTCATGAAAATGTTTAAAATTTCTAGTAATTTTTTCATAAGTGCTACACTTAAATATGTCCTCAAAGTTATGGGTGTACAAGGCTTCACAATATATCATCTTAAAAGCCATTTTCAGGTAATGTGTGCTTTAGACTTTAGAGACTCTTGAACTTTGTTATTCTTAATTGTTGATCTTTGTTAACTCTCTTATCTACATGTCCAAAAATATCAACTTGCAAAATACCTCCTTGATTCATCATCTGATGGTAAGTCTTTGGTCTTATTTTACCAATTCATTGGTTTGTTTTTCTCATTCCATTAGACAAATTCAATCACTTTTGATATTTGATCAATCTAGTCTAGTTTCTTTTTTGGAATAAACTCTTATATCTATTTCCCAATACCTATGTTAATCATTATCACACAAGAAAAATGCTAAAAAGAAGGTAACAAGGGACATGCTTTCCAATCTAGATGGCTCTTTGTGAGTATAGCTGCCTCTTTTCTTTTCGATGCTTAAACTTTCATCGATTGCTAGATAAGAGACATAATAGCTTGAACATGTTTTTAAAGTTTATGATATTTTTTTCCTTGCAAGAGATTAGGATTTCAATTCTCAAAGTGCCCCCAAGAAAGGATGACGATGCTAAGCATGAATGTGGTTATGGCTAAAAGTGACCCAAGGATGAATGGAGCTAGGGAGGTGAAGGCTTGAACTAGGAGGCTTGAGGGTAGTCGATAGTGAACAAACGATGGTGGAAACATGGGTGTGATGGGTTCAAGGGTTGCCGGTGTTAGAAGTGAACGATGAGAGGCGAGTACATCTGTAGGTTTGAGGGAAGGGTTTGAGAGTTCGAGAGGCTTATGGCTCAGGAATTTCAAAGGAGCACATTATAAGGTGTTTTTTTTTTTTTTTATAGAGAGTTCATGGGAGATTAATTGTAATGGCATGAATGATGGTGAAGGCGTGTTCGAGAGTAATTGATGACAATGGAAGTGAGATGTTAAAGGAGGAAGGTGATGGCTTGGAAAAGTAAGGGTACCATAAACCATCTCTGATTTACTATATAATAAAGGGCATCTTAGTCCATTCTCCTCATCCTTTTTTAAATAAAATAATAAGTTTGGCCCTTTAAAAATATTTAGGGCCTGTTTGAAAATTGTTTTGAGAACAGTTTTTTATTGTCTAGAACAATAGAATAAAAAAATCTGTTTGGTAACATATTTTAGAGAATAAAAAAATAAAATATTATTCTTAAAAATAGAAAAATGAAAACAACTTTTAGGTACTCGATGATAATTATTCTGAAGAACAAGAAATAACAAAAAACACCAATTTTTATTATTTTTTTATTTTTAAAATATGTTCTATAAAATATCAGTTCTTAAAATAATAAAATAAAAATAATTTTAAACAGCCTCTTAATATTTGGGACTAATTTGTTCTTTAACATGATTTTTTTGACCAATTTTCCTTATATTTTTTTATTATTTTATTTTTTGTTGACAAACGTTTTATTTTTTACGCGGAACAGTTCAAACGGCTCAGACAAGGACTTAACAAAAATTTAAAAAAAAAAAAAAAAAATCCTATGAGGGATTCAAGATGCAATGTCGCTTGGCCAACAGGGAAAAAAAATCGATACCGGGAAAATCGACACCGTTTTACCGAAAAACACAAACAAATTCGCACACTAAACGCGAGCACGCGCAGAGCTTCTCGCTAGGCCAATCATGGCTGTCCAGTCTCCATGTCAATGGTGGTCGTGCGCCAGACCCAGCCATTCTGATCCATTCTCACTTTCTTGTTCTTCTTCATCATCATCATCATCGTCTTCTTCTGCTTATACTTCATCTTTTCTTCACTCATTTCAAAGCGCCTACGCGAAACGACATCGTCTCATTTCTTGCTCGTTTCCTCGTCCTTCATCGCCTCCTCCTCCTTCATCTCCGTCTAATTCGGGTCTCAGATTGAGCACTACCGACAAATTAGATGTTTCGGGCTCGAAACGCAAGAAACTCAGCAACACTGCGAGGAGGGAGGTTTCGTCAGGTCTTTCCAGTCAAATCGAGAGTCAGAAGCGTGGGTACCTGATTTTCAAGTCTTTTTTCGGTAAGAGGTCTCTATGGCGGAGGATATTATTCGCATCCAACAAACTCAGAGGCATAATTTTGCTCAATGTCATAACTATAGTTTATGGTAAGCTGCCTTTCTTTTTCTGTAATCTGCTTCCGTTTGTTTTGTTTTGGCAGATTTTGTATGATATTATATGTTATGCTTCCAATTTGGTTTCTTGTGATGGAGAATGACATTAACGATTGTGTTAAAAAATCATTTAATTTTTTCATGAATTTTGGTTTCTGGCCGTGTCTCTGGATGGGGAAAGTTGTCTACGCTCAATGTGCCTGGGGTGTCATGGGACGTTATCTTGCATTCAGGAAATCGTCCGCCTATGAATGTTGTCAAAGTCCAGAGGACTTGCTTCAGGCACCGGTGAAGTTGACTTTTCCCTTTTCCTGACATTTCTTGTATTTAGAGAAAGTAGAGTCAAATTATGAAGGGAAACACTAATCTCTGTAGCCTGTGACTAGAACGCCTTGTGAGTGTAACAGGAAATTCCTGATGAATTTTTGTGAGGAGATTTGCTGTAGACGTTGGTAATATTTGAACTTCGGAGAAGGGTTGTGTATATTGATCTTAGATCACCCTAAACTGATCACAGAAGCAACAAACCAAACCCCTCAGGCAACTACACACAAACACAAAGGGGGCAAAATAAAAGATTCCATCTTGAAATTCATCAAGTAGGCTGTTTTTTTCCTCCCTCAGGTGAACCGCTCATATGTTCATAATATTTAATAGTGAATCTTCTTAGCTTGAGAGAATTAATTGCAGCAGAATTCTCAACAGCCAAATGGAAATTTGGGGGAAGTCTGCTGTTATTCAGTTCTCTAAAGTTGTATCAATCAACAATCATCAGTCTCTCTCTCTCTCGCTGTGACCCTCATGGAACCTGGTTTTTCTATTTGGGGGATTAAAGAATTGGTTGAATGAATGAAATACATTCCCATCGAATGGAAACCTTCATTATATTTTATATAGAAACTGACTACTAAGGAAATGAGCGTTAGAAGTCTCCATTGCATGATTTGTATATCAGTAATTTGCAAGTGTATGGAAGCTTCGTCTTAAGGCCTGCACTTTGTTGCATGTTGAACCATACTAGCTTTATTTGTGCCATTTCACTTTGTTTTGTTCTGGTAGTCACTACTATCAAAGCTTGACTATTTTAAGAAAATTTAACAACTTACCATATCTTGATAGAAGATGTGAAATTAGAGGCTTAATGTGGTTGTACGTTTTGATATATTTTATGCTGACAAGGATGAAATTGGACTACCCAGTAGTATCATGTCAGTAAACAAACTCTTCCTCTGGGGTTTTGGATGGGTCCTGCTTTCTGTATCTGTATAGTTACAATTGCATTTTTTATTTTTCAGTGTGATTTAGGTCAATATTCTAGTGCTCATGAACACACTTGTTTTTTCCTTGATTCAATATATGATATTATAATAATATTTTCCTAATTTATGTTCAGCCAGTAACATTCCAATTGTCAAAGAGGTTGAAGCCATTATGAGTCCAGCAGCTTTCACAGTTGTGCGTTTTACGCTTTCTGCCATTCCATTCATTCCGTTTGTACTGCAAGCAAGGGGTGATGCTCGCATTCGAAATGCAGGAATAGAGTTGGGATTTTGGGTCAGTCTGGGATACCTCATGCAGGCGTTTGGACTTCTAACCTCAGATGCTGGTCGTGCCTCTTTTATATCTATGTTCACTGTAAGATCATTTATATATCATGTTATGCAAATGATTTTTAAATAATGAGAATTTTGAGGGTATGATTGTGCATATTTTTGTCTGAAATTTGCAGGTAATTGTGGTTCCTTTAATTGATGGCATTTTAGGAGCAGTGATTCCTGCTCGAATCTGGTTTGGAGCTATCATGTCCATTTTAGGGGTTGGAATGCTGGAATCCAGTGGTTCCCCTCCAAGTGTATGTGTATCTCCCTCATTTTTATTACTTTTCTTCTATTTTCTTTTCTATATTTTGTGATTTTTGATTTACAATCAGTACTGCATTCTAAAGACTAAATGTTACATGAATCTTTGTTTTGTGTTTCTCTTCTTTAATAATTAATAGAAGTTTTGCACTAAATTCAGGTTGGAGATCTTTTAAACTTCCTAAGTGCAGTGTTTTTTGGCGTTCATATGTTAAGAACAGAACGTATATCAAGAAGCATTAGCAAAAAGGATTTCCTTCCCCTTTTAGGATATCAAGTGAGTTACCTGTTCATCCATCCATAAAAGGTTGTGCAAATTGAAAAGTATCATTCTGTTTATGTCTTGCATAACGTAAACTTACTGAAGTCCCTGCCACAGATTTGCGTTGTTGCTTTGTTTTCTACTATATGGTATCTTGTTGGAAGTTGCTTTGGTGGTTTTCACGATTCATGGCCATCTTCTTGGTCGTGGGCTATACTTAGAGATTTGATGGTTACTTTTCCATGGATACCTGCACTTTATACTGGCATATTCTCAACTGGACTATGCTTATGGATAGAGGTAAATTTATCAACCCTTGTACCCTTTCTTGAAAAAAGGTGGCGGTGTGTGGGGGCCTTTCTTTTTTTTTTTTGGGGGGGGGGGTGACTGAAGCGTGAGGGAAAGGAGAAGATAATCAAATGCAAGTATATATTTTGATTGAGCAAATATGCATCCTACATCCAGTCTTCAGCCACAATTTTAAACTTCATCTATTTAGACTCAGTGGGATAAGGCTTGTTGTTGTAGTACCAATGAAATTATCTTAGCTTGCTGCTTAGAGCTCTTGCTAAAGGTTTGAACTGTTGATACTTGATACTGCCAAAAATGACATGATTGGCTGCATTGTTGAGATGTATCATTTCCTTGAAAAGGAAAAAAAAACATATTTTAGTTGAATTATTTGTTTTTGGCAATGTTTTTAAGGTTAAGTGATTTGTTACAGATGGCTGCAATGCAAGATGTATCAGCCACGGAAACTGCTGTAATATATGGATTGGAGCCAGTTTGGGGTGCTGCTTTTGCATGGTTTCTTTTAGGCGAAAGATGGGGCACCTTAGGATGGATTGGTGCTTCCCTTGTGCTAGGTAAAATAACTTCTACACTGCAGTTATTAGGTTTTAGTTACGGTTCTCCTGTTTTGTAGATCACATGCTTGACCAACTGATGTAACACACACTTGCTCTAATCTGATCAGAGGGAGAGAGTAGAGGAAAAACCCGAAATAGGGAGGGAGAAGGAAACAGAACAGAAAATGAGATGAAGGAGAACGAGAAACAGGGAAGGAGAGAGATTTGGGGGAAATCTGAAACAGAGAGGGAGAGGGAAGAAAATAATGGCACAACCCGGGGGGGGGGGGGGGAAGAGGGAGGTAGGCAGAACGAAGAGGAGAGAGCTTTCAGAAATTAACCCGTAACAGTCATTCATTCAATTGATTTCAACAGCAAGATAAATTCCCAAGACAAACAACAAGGCTTGTACAGACATAGCCAAGAAGTTTGATTCTTTTAAGATATGTGATGTACATCCAAGCTCAAGAATTCATAATTTAATTCAAAATAGAAGGTAGAATCATAACATAATTAATTTTCAATAATTGAATACTTAAGTCCAAAATGCCATGCTATAACCTATTTCTAACTTATAAATACATCAATTATTAAAGCTTTCCCTCATAAAAAGGGGGGGTGCTTGACATGATTTGAAATCCCACAGGGGACATTTCTGAAGTGTAAATTGAGACAATAAAGAAAATCGAAGTATGAAAAAGATACAGAAGTATGCAAAAAAAATTTGGACATGACCTGTAATTGTGTAGTTGTTTTTAACAGAGTTATACCCTGAAGAGGCTGTGTTTTTCTTAGGCCTTCTAACCTAATTTAGAGTTGTGTATCAAGTCTTGAATCTGCAGAATAAGCGTCTTCACAATTTGGTGATCAGAACTGTTGAAAGCCCCACGTTTTTATTGGGTTTTGTATGTTACGGCTCTAGTTAGAAGTATCATTCTATTAGATCCTCATTTACTCACATTTGTCACTGTTTTGGTTCCTTTTTTAGCTCCTAGAGATCTTGCTGCTTTCTTATCTGGGATCAAATGGTAGATTGTTGCTATCTTCTCCTATTTATGTTTTTGTCTTTCAGCTTGAATGCAAGCAAGCACTTGAAGAAATTCTTAAGCATTCTAAGATTTTTGAAAAGCTGACTAATATTAGACAGCTTTTCTGATGTGCAAGGATACTTATCCTATTGTTTTGCTTATTTTGCTCGTCTGATGTGCAAGGATACTTACCCTACTGTAGTATTATAGACATTGTATTTATGTATAACTAAACTGTTGCCTCTAATGTTTTTCACTAGAAAAAGGTTCTTTTGTGACGTCTGTTCTGTTTGATTATGCTATATTTTGAGGCATGCTATACATTTTTTTTTTAAATGATATCTAACCAGCTTTTTGAATCTGATTGCATTGATCTCTCTTCAAATGTCCCGTGGCAGGGGGAAGCTTGACAGTGCAGATATTTGGATCAGCAAGCGAGTCTAACCGACAAGAACATAAAGGATCTAAGAAGGGTGAGAAGGTTCTGGTTTCAGACGAAAAGAATGGTTTTTCAAGTGCTTCTGTAATTGTTAGGTCAAGGGAAGATGCTTCTGATATATTGAAGTAATACTAGTAATCACTAATCACGTGGCCAAGGAAGGATGCTTGTGATATTATAGGAATATCACTATTAACCCTTCTCTTTGGCCGGTCCTTTAACTATAGATATTAGATAGATATATTATTGTAACCAAATTTGGGTGCTAGTGCTGTCTGTAGGTGCAGTTTTGACTCTCGAGGACCATGTTTCGTAGGACTCTTCCCCCCCCCCCCCTTGTAAATATGGGAATAAATGTCTTCAGAGCTATCTTTTTAGGTCCCAGGAAACAGCATGGAACTTGAGATTTGTTGTTCTTGTTCAGTTGTTCCAATTTCGAGAGCAAAGACGTATCGGAGTAATAAGGTATTACAAGAATTTTTTTTATTTTTTTTAATGGAAAATGGTGCTCTCCTGTCTCTCTCTTGGTCCTTAGTAAAAGATCTGTTATAAAATTTAATGAAACATTCCTATGTTCCTATGGAAAACAAAACACACTCCAAGACCACTGCAAAGACGTCTATTGTGATATTTAGAATCATGCAAACTACGTAAGGATTAAAAATTTAGGGGGAATGACAAGTAAAGACTATAAAAGATTGATGTCAAATCAAGATCTTATAATTGAAACATGGAAGAAGTTGTACTGAATTTGGAAATTTCAATTGTAAAGAGATCCTGACTTAATATTAATATTCTCATGAGGCCCTTATTTGTTATTATCATTTAAACTCATGATCATATGATAAAATTGTGAAAAAGAGCAATGGAACATAAAATTTAGATTCTTGTTGAGAAAGCTACAATAGAAGCGAAATAGTTACAATGGGATTAATGAAAAAATATCAAGATAATGGGAGAGATTTGTATATGGTTTTCATTATTTTTTTTTTTAAAAAAAACTTATAAGTGTGTTTCAAGAGAAGTATTTCATAAAGTCTTGAAAAAGAAATGTTTGTGTTGCATTTAAGCTATCTAAGATATGTTTAAGTGAGTAATAACTAGTGTGAAAATGTCTGATGGTGAAATAAGAGTTTCCTATAATGATTGACTTACATCAAAGATTAACTCTAACTCACCTTGTTTATTTGATTACTTGTGATAGGAAAGTACCTAATAAGACTAAAAGGAAGTTTTATCGAATTGCCAGAAAATTAATTATATTGTATGATAATAAATGTTAGGCTTTAAAGTGACAATAAGAACATACAATAGCATAAATAAGGATATTGAGATTGATGTGTGAACATATAAAAGATAAATTCATAATGATCACATACAAGAAAGAATGTTTATGACATCTATTGAGGACAAAAATGATAAAAAATAATTTAAGATAATTTGGACATGTATAAAAAAAATTGCATGAGGTGCCAATAAGAAAGGTAAAATAGATAGTCTTAAATCCTGAAAAAAGGAATATAAAAAAAATCAAAGAAAATACTCTATGCCCAAAGATTTAGTTGTCAATAGATAACAATAGCATTGCGTAATTTATATAATCAAAGAAAATGAAATAAGTGCAATATGTATAATCATGTTGAAATAAGGCATGTTGTATAGGACGCATGATTATTCATTTTATTTTCTTAGCAGTAATAGACCCAAAAAATTTAGTCATTGGAGGCAAATTTTATGCATAATGAAAATATTAGTAATTTATAATATAATTTTAAATAGTTATCAATTAATATAAAAATTAACTTTATTAAAACCAATATTTCTAAATATATGTTTTATATTTTTTAAAAACACAAATGGAGTTAAACATGAAAATCTATCTATTAATAATACCCATGGGAAATTTTTAAGGTGCAATGTGTATCTTCCCCCTCAAATAATATCCATTCATAATACCAATTAAACAATCCTGTTATATATCATTCATATTGTACAAATACTGAAACACATATCGGACACGACACATATCTGACATGTTGATACTTCTATTTTTAAAAATATAAAATATGATATATTTTTGATAAGTGCAAATATATTTATAACAAAGTTACAAAAATATTAAAAATATAATTTTAATTTAAAAAAATCCAACCTAACATAGATAGATAATTCTTTATAGTAATACCAAGCAAAATATAATCACTAATTATACTTTTATTCCATCTCTACCTAATTACCTACCATCTATTCTTTGTTAATAATTTCACCCTTAAGAATTTACATGCCAAAATATATTCTCACATTTTTATAATTAAAAAATATAATTTGTATTCTTCTATTATATCTAAAAAAAAATTTAAGCAAAATTTAATTTTTGACTTTAAAAGCAAATCACAGGAATATGTTAAAAACAAAAATAAATTAATACCACAATATTTAATAAAATTTAATTTTTTAAAAAATAACTTTGAAATATCAATTTTAAAGTTCCAAGTAGTAATCTAAAAATATTAAATACGTATTAAAAATTAATATTTTTTAATGTTAAAAAATAACATTTCAATATCCTATGATTATGTATCAAAAAAGCATCCGCGAATACCAGTATCAAATACGATATTGATACAAACAAGAGACAATTTGAAACAACGATACTTTATATTTGTTGGTTAATGATATATGCATAGAAATATATAACATTTATTGAAGTCAATGACCAAGTAGCCGAGACAACTGTAGATATCCCATTTTTGTCTTCCTCCAAGCACCACCACATCCGGTAATCTAATGCCGAATTTATGAGCCTACAAATTATTTGCTTGAAAACAAGAAAGAACAAGGAAGGAAAAAGACTATGGTATTTCCTTTAAGAGCGAAAATGCCATCTTTCATCTCAACCACATGCTACTACATGATATACAAAATAATCCTCCCACGAAGAATCATCCATCTCAATAAAAACGGCCACGGTTCTATGCAGATGATTTTGTATAACTAAAATTTCATGAATAATTTCATTCTAACCGCAACGGAGATTGAATTGCCCTATTGAAGTACGTATTGATCAATACATGATAATTTAACTAAACTTCAATTGATCGTTTTCCAAGAATATGGAGTCAGGGCATTAGATTAACTCCAGAAACAGGGCCTCTTGCTTGTTGGTTAGGCCAAGTTCATCGAGTGTCGATGCGCTTTCCCCATCACTAAATGCACGCCTAGGATATGGTCTCACCTGTACCGAGAATAAAGATTAAAAAAACGCATATAATCACACGGAAAATATAAACAGAATATGACTTAATATTCTCAAAGGCATTGAGGTTTACTCACTAGTCTGTAAGTCCCTGGTTTCACCACCCTGGCAATATCTATGAAGTTGAAAAGAGACTGAAAAAAAGGCAAAAGAAAAAATAAAGACACCGAAATGGGTTAATCGTTAACATGCACAGCAAGAAGGGGGTAAAAAAATTCCTGGCAGGGTTTACCTGTAGATTATCAGATCTCAAGAATCGACGTCCACGACGACTTCCATCTGGCATCCTTACCAGCAATGTCACAGCATTCTGGTCATCTGATGATGGTTCTGGTGGTAGAGAAACTTCCTTTGCCGCTAACTGTGTTTCCAACTCCTGACACACAATTAGGCGAAGTACAAGTGTTAAGCACCTTGGATAGAGTAGTTTTCTGTTCATGTTCGTAGAAAAGAATGTATTCATATTTAGGTTCTGAATATGCCATTATATTAGAGTCACAAAGCATGAAAAAACTAATTACATGATTTTCTTTGACAGATGCACTGCACAATGCAAAAGTTGGAATTGCAAATCTTGTTAAGAATCAGAACTATTCTTTTACAGTGAAATACCTAAAATACTTTTGTTTTGAAAAATCATTGAGGACCCTTCACTTTCCACTAGATACAGAAAAAATCACACCAAATTAGTGATCAAATAAATCCTTCTAGTTAACTAAAAAAGAAAATGAATCATTTTTCTAAAACAAAATATCATCAGATGAATTTCCCAAGAATACACATAATCCTTAAATCATGTCATGTCACATCATGAAGCAGGAGGAGAGATCAAATGTATAACTTAATCTTTACTAAAAGCTTAATTACATGAATAACACAAAAAAGGCGACTATATTAACTTCGTGTTCTGGTATATAACACAGCAAAACATGTTAGCATAAAGATCCAAGGAATTGTAAGTTATGAATAGACTGTTTGAAGGAGCAACATAGTTACCCCAGAAGATTGACAGTTTTTTTTTTTATGTTAATGTCACATTATAAAAGCATATGTTAACGTCACATTATAAAAGCATCACCTTATTTAGCTATATATTAATATCTCATTATTGATAAGTTCTCCGAACATTTACATTTCAGAATTATTTACAAATTGGGCCATCCTGTATAAATTGAAATCGGAAAAGCTTCCTCTTAGGACCAGCTCATTCTCAATTTACATCCATGAAGCTAAGACATCACAACCTACCTAGGCATGTGAAACAACGGCTAGTTCAACAGCCCCTATCCAATACTCTCCTCCAAGGATAAGGTATGACAATTAGCTACTATACTAGCATAATTTCCTAAAATATCAACTCAAAACAAGAAATGTGTGGACCAATAGCCCACAAGAATAAAACGGAAGCAACCACCATAGAGCACATCATGATGGAGATTGGAGAACCTAATTATTGCTTTGGCGTTACCTGCTCTTCCCTTAATTTCCTATGAGATTCTTCCTCTCTGCGCCTCTCCTCCTCACGAGCAGCCTCAGCTTCCTCCAAGGCCTTCAATTCTTTCTCTCTGTCTGCTTGTAATGATGCAAGATATTCATCATCCTGCACCACAGAAGCATAGAAAGCAATTGATGCAGTTAGACCACAAATGATCTATAATTCTAACCAACAAAAACAATAACAAAAAGTCTTATCCCACCAGTGAGGTCAGCTACATAGATTGCATGATGACATTGTGCTCTATCATCTATAATTCTAACCATTTCAAGAAATAATTCACACCTGCTGTTCTCTTATCAGGCGCTGAGCTTCCAGTGATGGTGAGGGTGGGCGAGGTGCAGGCCGAGGATAGGAACCCCTGGACTGCATGAACTCATGTGGTGCGTAACCAAAGTGAAACCTGCTCTCTTCAGGGATTCCACCAAACATTGCAGCTTCAAGCATTACTGCTTCATCATGCTCCTCAGAGGAAATGCCACCCCACTTTAGCTCCAGAGAAGTTGAACAATGGGAGTTAGGAGGCACAGACAACATATGATGATATGATGATGAGTAAACAGAGAATTTTAATCCTCCATTAAAATTCATAAAAAGGCTATACCTCATCAGAATGGAAGGAACTCCCATTATGCTGCTGATTACTTCTATCCTGATGTTCTGTGCTTGACTGTGGGCTAATATCGACAAGTTCAACTTCAACATCTTTGACTGATTCAGTAGAGCCCAATGACCTGCGTCTAGACCTGTTCCTAACCAGAGGTTGTTCCTCTACATCTTCAGCTTCATCTCGGAAGGAAGAGCTTCCTTCCTGCATTCTAGAATGATCATGAATACCATTGTCAGATTTGAAATTTTTTTCTAAGAAATATTGTTAAGAAAAATACTGAGTTAAACACAGAATGCGACAGAGCATTTCTTCACAACCACAGAAAGCAGAAATGAGCTCGTGGCACAGAGAATGCAATAGAGCATCTATTCACAGCCACGGAAAGCAGGAATGAGTGCATGATTGCATACCACTAAAAGGACAAATAAAGAATATACCTTCCATTTGATGCAGCTATTTTTCCTAGTTCCACTGCATATGACTTAGATGGCACCACCTCTGCAATGTCTCCTCCTTGGACACGCCTTGCATTCTCCTGCTCAGCAGTCTGGACTCATTTAATGTTAGAAGAAATTAAGCATCCAAAACTAAAATGAAAATTGTTGTGGAAGCACTGGTAATGCAGTGCCAGAAAAAAATAAGGAGGTATATTGGAAGTGTAATGGGAAAATTTAATAATTTATTCAACAATGAAGGAGAGAATTTTCAGTTATGCCAACATCCGATTATATAGAGACTATAAGATAATTACAAAATAAATTAAAATAAAGATAATAACTACACAACATAATAAAATAGAAAGGACAAAAATGTATGAATGAATTGGTTTCTAGAATCCCAGTGGTAACAGTACAGAGTGGTGAACTTAATCGAGATGACTGGCTCAAGAGTTGCAGCATGATGACAAAAAAACAAGAGAAATTAAAGGAGCACCTTCAGGGACAATGAAACTGCATGGGCAAGTTCAGGATCCTCCAAGAAAGACTGCCTTTGCTGGGGCCCAGGTTCAGTTAAATCCTACATCAGGTGGAAGACAAATGGTAAGGCAAGAAGTCAGTACAATAGAGCACCAAGAAACTCATCTAGAGAAACACATACCCTTTGCCTGTCAGATTTGTGATTGGGGTACTTTTCCTCAGCTTCCCGTTTAGAAGCCTCAATGGCAGCACGAATCATTTCCTCTTCTATGTCGTTACCATAATCTGGCACATTCTCAGGCTCAGGAGCACTTGGCCTAGTACTTCTGTCAGCTGAAGTATCAGCCAACATCTTATTTTTTTGTTCATCCTGGTGTCCAGTATGGGCAGGTGAACTATTTTCTTCATCATCATCATCATCAATTATGACAGTCCCATGAATATCTGGACCATGGGCACGAACAGTTCCCGTGACATCTTCAATGGTTGGAGCATGACCAGCCTGAGAATCGGATTGATTACCATCCTTAACCTCTATAGGAATCTCCCTTACCTCTCTTGGATGTGTAACAAATGGTTTGCGGTTGGTTGAATCAAGAGGTGCATCAAATATGCTTCTACTAAAAGTTGGATCAAGAAGAGAAAATGGATTGATATCTCTGGCAGAAGGCAAAAGTGAGAAAGGCCTGGGCATTTCATCACGGAGTTGATTATCTACATCCATGAAATCATCTTGTGGAACAGCAACAGAAGTGCCATGGTACTGCCCAAGAAGAAATGAATAAATATCAATATTTATAAAAATATACAGGAAAAATTCAGAACAAAGAGTAGATGAGGGTACATTTCTAATGGAATGCTTGCTCACAAGTCATCCAAAAATAGTATACCTGGTTGACAAATTTCTGTCTCCTTCACTAAAATGTGCATTGATGGCTTCATTAAGATTGCCACCATGCTCCTGCAGGAAACAATATTAACAGACAAAGGAGAGATATTATTAGCATCTATTTGACAGAACTGATTCATGACTAAAATTATTTAAAAAAAAAAAGGCTGAATCATGCTGATTCAAAGAAAATTGACTGGATACCGACAACCAATGTTTCAGGAAAAAAATCAGAATATCCACTTGAAGCTTAGACTCACATGAGTGGTTGCGTATCTAACATCAAGGTTATCAATTTTCATAAAACCTGCATATGAGAAAGCAACTTGACCCAAAATATTTAAACAATGACGCAAAAATCATCTTCCACAAGTCCAGTTGTTCAATTTGAATCAGCGGGCCAAGCACCCCACTCAAGTGAGATACATCTGTTTAGTAATTAAAAATTTCTCTCCCAATTCCAATTCATCTTTCATCTTTAATTTGACCGTAACATCCGGAGCCTATTAATCACCGTTGGTGAACAGAAGCTTCTGTAAAATATGAAATTCTAAATCTAGTGACATTGAACAAGCAAAAATCATTAATAATGTATTTGGGTTAGCTAGGCAGGCGAAATCCATAACCAAGCTAACTAGTCAATGCACATAAACCCTAATCATGGCCGATGAACTTGGAAAAGAAATCACATTTGCGGTTACATTGACTTCATCAAGTTTCTGTAAAAACCTAGAATCAGTTCGACGATCAATTAGGTTAAATCAGAATATATATCCAAGTAAAAGCTAACCTCGAGCTTTTGCACTGCGATGCTTCAGATAAGCCAGTGATGCTAATGAACGTCTCAATTGCCTCCTGATTAGGCCTCGCCATTGAAATCTGATCAGTTCGAAACAAGAGTCAAGCTTTAAGATTCAGAGCCCCTTTCCGAATTAAATAAAAAATCAGAAGGTAGGATGAAGTTTCATCGAAATATAGTGAGGGATACTTGTGGGAAATACACAAGAGAGGCGGTGGAAGGGCAGCGAACAGAAGAAAAAGGAGGTCGTTTTGGTCCTGACGAAAGTTTTGGGGTTTGTGATAGTGAAAACGAAAATGGCTAGACTTCTCTAACCTTCTACGCTTTTGTTGGATAAAAAATAAAAATATATTTAAAATCCATCCAAATAATCTTCTTAACCCATGTTTGTTAAATTGTTTCTACAAGTAAAAGATAACTAATTAAAATAAATATACAAATAAAAGATAATTAATCACATAATTACAAGCATAATATTTCTAACTAGATGTCATCAGCAAGATTTATGAGGAGGACATCACAGAAATGAGAAAACATCCTGGTGATCCTTATAGTAATTATTAAGCTTTCAACTTAAATTAGGATAATTCAACTTAATTAACTCTTTGGTTAAAAAAAAAAAACCTTAATTAAACTCTGTTCATTTCTATCCAAATCCCATTAACAAACAAACTTGTTGGCAATTCTCCATTGTTCTTTAGCAAGTAGTGTGGTGCCAGAAGTTTGATAAGGATTGAAGAATTGGTTCATTAATTGACTTTGATGGCAAATATGCAAACATTATTGCTTTAATTTCATGCTCATGATTTCAACATAAACACGTGTTTAGGATTGGCCTAATTCCTTTAACATATTGTTAATACGGGTTCAATTAGATAGTTCTTTTAAAAATATTTTTGTATTCACAAAAACTTAAATTCAAGAATTCATGTTTAAGTAGCTATATTTCCTTCCAACACAACTAATACTTGTTTTTGCTGTTGGCATTGAATATATTGATTTGTTGGCGTTGATCTCTGTCATGATCATTCTACCCCTCGATCAGATCTTGCACAATGATCTTACCACTAATAAAGATGAAAAGCTGGGCTCAGAGGTAATGCTACTTGCATATATGGGCTCGGGCCAACTTGGTTAAAAAATGGGCCTAGCAATGTCTAGCCTTTGTCTTTAAAAAATGAATGATAATTTGTAAACAGATAATTTAGAAAAAGTTCACCAAAAGCGATGTGGAAATAGAATTTTACACGTTTCAACCCTTAACTAGATTTATATACATGGGGATGTTTTAGTTTTTAAGAATAAAAATAAAAATAAATATTAAAATATTATTTTAATATCCTCAAAGTAAAATATATTACTTTTTTTTATTTTATCTTAATTATAAATATTTTTTAAAATCTATACAAAATCCTCTTAAAATTAATTTTTAAGAGTTACAAAATAAAAATATGCCTTTTATTTTTAAGTTTTTATTTTCATCCATCCAAATATTAGTTGACAGTTAAATTATGTATGTTAGATAAAAATACCAATCTTAATATATTCTTTTAAATTTTTATTTTTATTTTAAATTTACTAGTCATACAAACTAATTTATTTAGTAGTTTTTTAAAAAATTAATTACATACTCCATCTTTTTAAAAAAAATTATAAGGTATTTTTAATCAAGTTTCACCACAATAAAGTAGTTTTTTATCTTTAAAATAACACCATCTTTCTATATTTACTATTTAATTAAATGTTTTACTCTAAAATAAATATAAAATAATTTATTTATTTATTAGTGATGTTTTTAGAAAAATGAAATAATTACACCTTCAAACACTAAAAATATCTTATGCTTTTTAATATCAAACTCCTGAGAAATAATTTCTAAAAAATACCTTACATTTTTAAATAAAGGAAGTAAGTTTATTGAAATAATATTTCAAACTCATATATGAAGAAAAAACTTCATGGAATAAGAGATAAATTAGTCAATATAATTTATATTTTTTATTTAAATTTTATAAAATGGGTAAAATATTTTTAACTTATTATCATACTTAATTGTCAAAAGTTTTTTTGGCTAAAAATTATTTGAAGTTCCTTAAATTAGGAAGCGAGAGGATATAAATAAATAGATTATATGGGTAAATTAATAATTTAAATTTGTTCAACATAAATAAAAATAATAAATTAAATATTTTAGAATATTTAACATAATATTTCTAACCGTCTTAAAAATGAGGCTAACGTGTAAATTTTAAAAATATGGATAAATGTGAATTTTTATTTTTGATGTTTTCTCCTAAAAGCACCTAGTATCCTAACATTTTCCACGAAGCATTTTCGCCCTTTAAGTAATTAATTCAGAGCATCCAATACCCTAATTTAACTCTTTACACATTGACTATTAGAATTATTGAGTTGGAATACATTTTGACTGAAAATGTTAAGTTGGACTAAATTCTTCCTCTTTCTCTATACTATATAGTCAATTGGTCAAAAAATTGGCTCCTAAAGTTAATCTTCTTTCTCTCTCACCAACCTTCTTTCCTCTCTCTCTCTCCCCCCTTCCTTAATTTCTCCACCTTCATTTATGCATGCATTGCTTATGCATTTTATAATAGAAGGTGGTTTTTGGTCCCATATGGTTAGCAGAATGGAGGTGAAAAAGGAAGAGTTGCTATGTGAAGGTGACAGCGTTGAGAAGGATTGAAGGCACCAATGTCTTTGTTCTTCCCCATTTTTTTTCTTAGAAATAGGGATGAGTTAAAAGTCATATTGTTCACTTTGAAAGGCATCATCCATAGGATAATTCACAAGATTGTGATTGACACTAGGTAGGCGTCAACATGAATGGCATGGATTGGCTTTTGTTGCTGATGGAGAGAATAATAGGTTGTTATGACTTTCAAACATCTGTAGTTGTCATCATCATTACTCTAAATGCTAGCCACACAACTCATCTTCATCACAATCTTCACTTCAAACATCCTCAACATAAATATCTTAAGTCACCACAGTCACTCCATGGTTGGGGAAGAATGTCGAAGAAGCTTGAACAAGTGGTCTTGGAATTTTAAAAAATCACTGTGGGTGTTTTGGTTAGCAAAATCACTATGGGAGGCCAAAGAAGAGGTAAATCGTCCCTGACAATGGAGAAGATGGGCTTCGAGGTTGATGGCTATGAAGAGAAAGGGAGATAGAGATGTCGAGCTTCAAGAATGGCAAAGTTAGACATAGCAAAGGCATAAGCTTTAAGGTAAATGGTAATGGTGGAGGCTTCTAAACTTTGAGCTTCATTAGAAGTGGGTGAGCAACGATAAGGAGAAAAGGAGAGTAGCTGATGAGGGTGTCATGTCAATGCTTTTAGTGCTAGAGGGAGATGATAATGCTAAAGACTAAGGTAGTAATAAAACAATCATCATCGAAGGGAGATGGTAACCTATCACATAAAATGAAGCCTCAAGAAATTTTTTAACAGAGTTAGTATGGATTTAATGTCAAGGTAACATGTGCACCAAATTAATAACATCAGAGGCAAAAATACTATGCAAAATATCTTAAGGTGCTAGGTGCTCTTCAGACAAAACATTAAGGGTAAAAATGCACATTTACCTTAAAAATAAAGAAGAAGTCTTTATAATTCTACCAAAAAAAAAGGATGCTCGTGTATTTTACTTTATAATTTATCAATTTGTGCAAATTAAAATCTAAAGAATATTTTATTTTAAATTTTTTATGTTCGTACATATTAAAAATATAAATAATAACTTATTTTATTTTACAATGTATTGTCCTGTATAAGTTAAAATTTAAGGAACAATTTCTTCTTATTCTTTTTTGTTTCTTAAGATATCCCTATAGCAAGGTACGTAAAACCGGATCGATCATTGAACCGGTCATGGCACTGGGTCACGAGTTAGTGGTTCAATTAGGGTTGAATCGAGGGTTAAACCGGTGGCAAACCGGTCATGATTAAAATAATACAATTTAAATAAAAAGACATTAATTATAAAAACATTCAACCAAATCCAACCACTCAAAAGTTTAACAATAATAAAATACAACACTTTAAATATCTATCATTACAATTACAACTCTTCAATCTCAAAGTTCATAGAAGAGATAGAGATAGAGTTAGAGAAGAGATAGAGATAGAGTTGGAGAAGAGACAAAGATTGAGTTGGAGCCTGAAGAAGAGACGAAGACTAAGTTAGAGAAGAGACACTGATTAGGTTAGGGCGAGAGAGGAGAGATACAGATGAAAGGCTGAACTAAATGCTGTCTGAAAATCTGGATTGGACTTAGTATGCTTTACCTCTAATTTTTCATTTTTTGACTTTAGTTTCACTTTTTTTGTTATCTTATTTTTGAACTCAGCACTCTGAAAAAAATCAAAAATGAAAAAAAGATCCCCCAAAAAAATAACCCGATTAACCCAGTCAATCCACCGGGTTTAACCGGGTTGAAGCCGGGTTGACCAGGTTACAACCGATTCATTTTCTCACTGGTTTAGGAGTAAACCCATACCAGACAAGGGATCGGGTCACCGGTTTCTGGGTTGACCCGGCCGGTCCAGTCCAGGTTTCAATACCATGTCCTATAATAAGTGAGTATGAGACTAAAATTTAATGGGATGATACGTATAAGGAACATCTTCTATTTTGCAATATGTTATACTTATAAATATTAAAAAATATTATTGTTTTTTAAAATTTCTCACCCCTGCAATTTGAAATATAATCTAGCTTATTCTTTTTCAAAATGTGCTACCTCATATACACCTTAAGAAAAATAAAACATATACTATAATGAATCATGCTACAATTTACGTGATAATGTTATTATAAATTGTAATTATAATGTTTCTAAATCAAGCAAATAATATAATCCATGTTTTAATACCATTTATTAATCACATGTACAAGTACTACAAGCAATACAATGATTATTAAAAAAAGATTAGATGTGCATTGGAAGATAAATTTATTAATACTCTATATTTAACTTGTAGCCCATCATTTTTTGCTTAGACTTAAGGCACATAACCACATCAATATTTTTTATAGGTGTTCAAGCCATAATCAACTTTTATACCTCATGCATTTGAAGAATATAAATAAAAACTTATTATATATATGCTCAGATAAACTATGTTGATTTGTTGTTCTATGTTAATGATAAATATATAAAAAAGTTCTTTTTATCTAAATCAGTTATCCCATATAAATTTTATTATATATCTAATACCTATGGTTAAAAAAACACCTATCATTTTTATTAAGAATCTTATATCTATAATTTTTACTATGGATCTTATATGATCTTTTAAAATATAAAAAATTTATTATTTTTTACACTTGATCTAAAATTTTAACATTATAAATGAAAATTTATATGGCAAATGTTTTTCATCCTAGGTAAATAAATTTTATTAATTAAATTACAAGTCCCACGATCATTCTTTTTACAATGGTAATTTTTTGCATACCTAACACCTATTATTTTTATTAAAAAATAGTATATTCATGGCCAGTTTTTTCCATGAATTTACATAATCTCTCAAAATATAAAAATTTTATTATTTTTACACCTTAGTTAACATTTTAAACTTTATAAATGTAGACCCCCACTTACATTTTTTAATGGTAGGTCTCACACACCACTTTTTTAAGCCATACTATTCCAATTTTTTAAAAATCAAGTTTATTAAAATCTTATATTCTTTTCATTTCTCTTAGAACTTTAATTTATATCGAGTTTAAAATATTTAAATATATAAAAAATTTATAGTAGAGCAGTCTTGACACATCTAGATTTTGAGTTATTTAAATTGGTCTAACCATCTCAAATTATTAAAAATTTATTTATCTATTTTATTTTTATGAGTCCATAAACTATGTCTTTAAATTTTTTTGGCCAATTTATATATTTAATTTTTAAAAAAATTACAAAATAAATACATCTAAATAACAAAAAATTATTTTTTTGGAAATTTGAATGGTTTTTAGATAATATTTATATTTAAATAAGGATATTTTAGTTCACAAATGTAACTTAACGGTCAACTAATGGTTAGGTGAATGAAGATAAAATCTTAAAAATAAAAAGAAGATTTATATTTTATAATTATTTATACTAAAAATGTTCATATAGATTTGAAAAATAGATGAGAGGCATCATTAATTAAGACAAAAAATAAATAAAATATTTTACTCATTTTAATTATAAGTTTTATATTAATAATTTATTTTTTATAGGTTCCGCATGCACCTTTATTACTACGGAGCCCAAATTATATTTTACCTTTTTTTATTATATTATATTAAAAAAATTAATAATTAAAAAGTAAGAAAAAAAAAAAGTTGAATGGGTAGTGTAAGTTAGTACTGTATATCTATGGTGCTATCCGCGGAGTATATTGTAGATGTAGGTGCACACTGTGAATGTGGACGTGATTGTAGATTGTAGATTGTAGATTAGCCGCGTGCTTACATGACTTAAAATATGCTTTTTAACCAGTGAAATGCGGTGAATGACAGAAAATTTAGCATTAAGTACACCATCAAAGAATAATAAAAGATATTTTATCACTATAATTATTGGACAAATAACAATATCAACAACTGCAACGAAAGTAATTTCAAACCTGCGTCGATTTTTGCTCAAGAATTAAGGGAAAATCACAATCAAGGATCCTTAGAGATAATTAATTATGTTGCAGGACTAAAAGATTATGATATTATTTTGAGAGGACCAAAGGATTTAAATGTAATTAAAATTTATTGTGAAAAAATAAAACTATCCTAATGTATTTTTGTTGTGACGAGAGAATTGATTATTATTAAAATAAAAATAAAAATTTTTTTTTAAATGAAGACTTGTTTATCGGATTATAACACGAAATTGATATTTTGTAGCTGCTAAGGAAGAAATTAATTGTTGTTAGAATGAAAATAGGGCTTTTTTTTTTTGAATGGAGATTTATTCATCAAATCACAATATTTGTTCCTCTCCACCATCAAGTTAATTTTTTAAAGTTGTTAATAATGAAATTGGTTGTTATTAGAATATAAATGAGACTTTTTTTTTTTGAATGGTGACTTATTCACCAAATCACAACACTTATTCCTCTCTGTCACTATGTTAATTTTTTGGAGTTGTTAATAAATATATTGATTGTTATTAAAATGTAAATAAGACTTATTTTTCTCGAATGGAAGTTATTGTTAAAAGAGTATGTAATATATTTATAAAAGATATTTTTGTCTTTTCACAACAAAATAGGTACTTTGATCCTATAAAAAAATATCAAAATTATTTAGTCATGTAGTATAATTGATTGTCTTTAGAGGTTTTTGGTTGTGATTTTCCTAATAATTAAGCCAATACATCTAAAATATCTTAGAATTGATACATTATTCGAGCCAAGTGCAATAAGATTAATTTCAAAGCCTCAACCATGTGAACAAAGGAAGCAATGAAGTTGCTTTGATAAAGGACATCTTCACCATCTGAAAATGGAAAGACATGGTTAAATTGGTCCAGCAAAAATGAGTTAAGAATCATTTTTTTCATAATTTTTTAGAAGCGTTAAATACTTTATATCAAAGAGTAGTGCAATATCTTCCAAAACAAATTTTTCAAACGAAAAGTTGTCTTTCCGTCATAAACTCGTTATCTTCTCTATTATTTACTAACATAAAATAGCTATGGATTCTCTACATAGCGAAAGCAAGGTATTCTAACCTATTTTGCTACTATCTTGCTAATGAAATCAAGCTCTGTTCTAACTACTATCATTGCTACTTTTAGCCCTTTTGACCCATGTTAGATGGTCAAAATATATCAAAATGACTTTTGTCATTATGGATGCGAGCCCCACAACTATTTCAGGCAAATAATAAAAAGATGATGGGTTTTTAATGGAAGGATGATTTTGCTCATGAAATTTTTTTTAGAAGAATATTGCTCCATCTTTTGGTTTAGAGGGTGCTTAGTGTTCTTGAAAAAAATTAACGAAAAAAATGATCTTAAACCTTAACAAAAAGAATCAATTTTAAGATCTATAACTATTTTGCAGGTTAGATAAAGCTTGACTTTTTTAGATTATAAATTGTAATAATTCTATTTCAGCTTTAGCCTTAAACTATTAGTGCATCTCATGAGAGACAGAGAACTTGGGCGAGAATTTAAAACGGGGCGAGAATTTGTAATATAGTTTAAAATAGTTTAAAATTTATGACTTTTGGCAAAATTTATTTATTTTTTAATTTGTAAAATAGTTTAAAATGAATGTTGGCCCTATTCTTACTTTATTTTCAATTTGGCCCCACCCATTAAACTCTAGATCCGCCCCAGTGCTTGGCCCAAATATCTCACAACACAAGATAGGAATCAACTATCTCAATCAGTACCAGCCACAATCTGTTTGCAAATTATTATAAACCAATGTTTCTAAATGGAATTAGATATTAAACTGAAAAGGCCAATGTTTTATAGTTTCTATGGTCTAACTGAGGCAGACTAATCGTCAAATTGGTGATATAATAATTAAATTTAAAAAAAAATTATATGTATATAATAATCCAAATATAATAAATAAATATAAAATTACATTTAACTTAAAATAAAAACCAAATATTTAAGTTTATCATGACTTAACAAGTCACATGATATAACATAACATGAAATGATTAAAAAATGGGTCATTAAAAAAAATTGATCAAAAAGAAAAAAAGAAAAAGAAAAGGGGTCATTTTTCGAATCGTCTAGTTTTTAAGAACCGGATTCAATTTTCAACTTAATCTTGTTTCCTAGTCTAAAAGCTAGTCCAAAGCAGTTATAATCTGACCCAACTCTACAAATGATTTTTTGAGTTGACAGAGCTTAACAATCTCTAGTTTTTAAATCATTGCTATCAACTAGCTAGGCCTATTGTTTGTTCCCTGCAAGTTATTCAACACTTGCCTCATCATTACAAGCAATGAAAAATGATGGTTGCTTGAGGTCTTTTAGAACATATAGCTTCAACAATAGCCTAGTCCAGTCATGATGCCTTGGACAGACTTGCATAAAAATAACTTGTCGATGAGAATATAGAGAAAATACAAAGAATTCAAATGTTCACAAAAAATAGTACAAATGCTCCTACAAGATCTAGCTGGCATACTTTACCCTCAAACCAAGTGAGATGATTTCAGCAAGCATAGTACAACATTCTTGACATTACCATGTTTCTCATATATAGCAGGGAACCAGAGCTTGTAAGTGTGTGTTTGGTTTTACATTGGAAACATTAAACCACCAAAAACATGATTCAGTGGTTTCCAAACACATGCTCTAACCTCAAATCCATGCTGCTTATGGTGGCCATGCTCCATATTAGGCCCATTTGTCTAGAATTTTCTTGATTGATATTGTAGTAGACTATTAGGTATTAATTGGTTGGAAAACAGAATAAATGCAGGAAGTTGACAGATGTATTAAATATTATATGGTATAGGTGGTAATGGTACATACAGTAAACGCACAAGCCTTTCGTGATTCCTGTAAACAGAGGTTGGATCTCTCCTTGTAGTATATTTAGTCACGTCACGTACATATATATGCTCAGCTAACTATTGGAGATTTTTATAGAATCCACTGGTTCTCTTGCCAGCCGCATATTGCACAGCATCAATGCATGTATCTAAATATATATACATATATATATTCACAAAAGTGAATGCCGTATTCCGAAAGAAACACAGAAAAGAAATGATGAGGAATTAAGGATAAAGGTGCTATATATATATATATATATATTACAGCCGAGGAAGGATACTAGTCCTATACTAAAAATAATTGTCTTTCGTTGTTAATGCAAGCATCTTCTGCAGTAGTGGAATATGGAAAAGGAAAGGCAGTTATCAGGCAGCACATATTCAACCACATGGAATCAAATGGCCATAAATAAAGTACAATCACATGGAATCAAGGAAAGGACCACCTGGATGTGTAATAATTACAGAATCACAATTCTTCATTATTGAGCAACATCAAATGAACTTTCTGTCAAATTATAGAGTTAAATCAGTCAAAGTTCTCAATCACCATTGCAACTTGCTACTGCACATATTACTAATGTGATAGGTCCCGCATCTTTAGGCTTAAAGAAGCATGCTTTATTAAACTGACATAAAAATATAGACAAGAGACAAGATATATGGATGTTTTATATTCAGGGTCATGATTATTAGAATCAACAAATTAAATAGTGGTTCCAACACCATCTGGGGATTGTTATAAATAGCAGCAGTAGAAAGGAAAGTGCTATAACCTGAGTTGGATTATCAGAAGCGAGCAAGCTAAGCAATGGCTCAAGTTTGTGTGCTTGAGACTACTAAACAACTCAGAGCACCTCCTGAAAAGCTCTTCAGCCTTCTCAAGTCTCAAAACCAGAAAATACCAAACGCCTCTGACAAGGTTCATGATATTGAAGTTCTTAATGGTGACTGGGTAACTCCAGGCTCTGTCAAGCTTTGGAAGTTTACCCTAGGTATGTATATATATTATACCATCTTGACACTATCCTGAATATAAATAATTCATGCAGCAAGCATATATATATATATATATATATATATAACTTGAAGTTTCATACTTTGAAATTTGCACGTACGTACAGAGGGGAAAGAAGAAGTATTTAAGGAAAGAGTTGAGGTGGATGAAGAAAACAAGACTCTGACTTATACAGCATTGGGGGGAATGTAAGGGAATTGTACAAGAGCTATCGCTTGATCCTCAAAGTTGAGATGAATGGAACTGTCAAGTTACGAATCGAATACGAGAAGCTCAATGAAGATGTCCCACCTCCTCACAGATACCTTCACTTTGTCCTCGATCTTTTGAAAGAGATCCAACACAAACTAGTTTGAGCGTTTTGATATATATAACCTTTGATCAACAATATATTTTATATAAATGAACTAGCTAGTGTGAGTTCCATGACTGTGCTCATGAATAATATAGCTTGTTAGAATTTTATATTATATATAAAATGGGGATGATAGATACGTGGACTGTAGCTAGCTAGCTAGTGATGGTGTGATCTATGCATGAATGATATTCATGCAACTATGATAGTTTTTGAGTTTATATTTAGTATGCAAGAATGATTTAAGTGTGTAGGTTGGAAGAAATAATTATATGCAAATGAAACCTTCATATATATGTTTTCAATGTTAGGTTTTTTTTTTCTAATTAATAATTAATACATTGTCTTACAAAGTTGTGTTGTAGGTGCTAGTCGTATCATGTAAAGGGTGGTCTAAATAAAACTGGGAATAACATTTTAACATAATTCAAGAAATATTTGTATAATTTTTCTATAAATTCATATTTAATTGCAAGGTATAATTCATTAGCTTTGCATTTAATTGTAGTTATTAATGACCCAATTTTGCAGGGAAAATTAACATAAATTAATTTTTTCCAAATAAATATTTTATTTAAATTAATTTTCTAATATTGAAGAAATGATAATTTTAGAAAAGTGAAGAGTTATTTAGCATTTTATCTAGCATTTTTTAATTCAGAGTTTGAATTTCAATGAGAAAAAATGTAGTTTTATTTTGTTTTAAATTATGAAAAAACTTTGTCCCTTTTCTTGTAATTTTTTTAATGTCATTTCTTATAGTTTTTCCAATGATTCCTTTTTTTTCAGAATTTATATTTCTTATGCGAAAATAGAGCACTCGCAGTTCATTTCTTCCCTTCCTTTCACCGACCTGAACGTTCTGATTCTTCACCACCATTGCACTCCTCCGCCGTTCTTCCCGTCTCCGCTCGCCGTGGTGCTCGTGCTGTCTTGCAACACTAGCTGTAATCTCATCTTCTTCCTCCCCTGCATGTTGTTGCTGATGATCGCTGCTGTGGTGGAGGTTTTGTTGAAGTCACGATTTTTTTTCACTTTGGTTGTTGCCATCGGAGAGTGTAAGTGGCAGGAAATTCCTTCCTAATTCCTGCTCTGTTTGTGCGTTCCTGAGCGTGTGCTGCCATGGTTTTGTGATTCTTTCCCCTGCTTCTGTTGATTTCTTTCTCTTCCCCTTCTTTGCTCTTGCTGATTCAGGTTTGAAGCTTCGAACCTTGCTTCTTGTCAATTTCATGTGTGTGCACGTTTAAGTCGTTGAGATTTTAAAAATTTTCCCTATTATTTGATCTACTGCCATGTGTGTCTTAGTTGGGAAGGGATATGATTTAATATGAGGATAGTCTAGGTTAAGTTTTTCTTGAGTTTAATTGACCCTTGCTAGAAAATTTGATTGACGAAAAAAAAATAAAATATAACAAACCCAAAAGTTATATTGTAGATTGTTGGGATGAGCTTTAAAGCCAAAAGCTTAAAAGTAAGATTTGAAAATTGATGCCTACAAAATGTTTGATTAAATGTGTATTAGAAGGAGCTCGCTGGGTTATGTATTTCCTGCAATCTCATTAATCTCTTAAGAAACACAACTAGCTTAAATGCTATTATTTTTTAAATTTGAGCTTGGTGCTGTGAAGAAATTGGGTTATGAAGCTAATGTATAATTAATTGAGTCTTAAGAGTTATATGGTGGGTGATTATAAACTATGGTATTGTTTTATTACTTAATTTAGAGGGTGCACTTAAGCTGTTCGGTGAAATGGATTGTAGAAAAATTTCAAATATTTATGGTGATTAAATGGGGTATATATAAGTAGTCACACTTGTAGTTATAGTTGATTGTTGGCAATGGAAAAAAAAAAATTGGGAAGACAAGTTAAGATTTGATCTTAGTGTTGGATATAGGAGTTGAATTAGAAAAGCGTGATGAATCTAATTGTGATTATTTAGGAATTGTTGGGTAAGTAATTCAATGATTAAAAAGTTTTATTGAGTTGGTTGAAAATTACGCACATGAAATGCTGGATACAAAGGTCTAAGTGAAAATCATATTTCAAAAAAATTGAGAAATGAATTATGGCCAAAGTAACATGGTGAAACTATATTGTGCAAATTTTGATATCTTGGAATTTTATAATTCTTGGCAGTTAACTTTTAAGTGACATAAATAATGATGCTTGGGGAACTTAGTGTTTTTAAAAATTGATTATGGTTGTATTGATGTTGAAAGGAAGTTATGAAACTTATAGGAAGGTTATTAAAATATTATTATATTTTTATATATAGCACGTTTGGAGAAAGAGAATCTTGATTGAGGTTGTAAGAAGAGATGTTGAACTTTGAAAAAATAGCAGGTAAGTGAATAGTATCTTAACTGAATTATCAATAAAATTATTTTTTCGTAATATTTTTTTACATGGATAATTTAATAACAAATTATATTATGCATTTAATACTTTGTTAATTAAATTGTTTTTTTCCTTGGAAAATTTGAATTATGGGATGTTGAAGGATATTTGAATTATGGCATGTGTATGTATTTTTCCTTATGAAGGATACTTTCAAAATTAATGAGGTTATTTTTATCAACATTGGTTATTTTTGGGTTACTCAATATATGTCATGCATGGACATTAGTTATGAAATTTTATTTTAATAAGTTTTTAATGTTCAAAACTATTCATGTGAATTTGACTTTGAGAATGAAAATTGTATTTTGAAAGCGATAATTTTTTCACATATTTAAAAATGAATTTAAAAGGAAATTTTATACAGAATATTGGTTATTAACGGTAGCTTCGTTAGCCTTTGGCATACCTTGTTAATGACTACTCCCTCCATTAAAAAATGTAAGGCATTTTTAATTCAATCTCACTCCTCAATAAAATAGTTATCTATTTTTAAACTAACTCCATCTTTCTATATTTACTTTTATTAAATACCCTACAATAAATATAAATTCATTATCAATAAGGGTATTTTTGAAAAAAAGGTAATGATTACATCTCAAAAAACTAAAAATGTCTTACATTTTTTAACACCCAACTTTTTAAAAAATACCTTACATTTTTTAATGAAGGGAGTAGCTAGTTTGATATTGTGAGTTCTGTTCTCATGTATGTTATTCGTAAGTCTCATATCTTCATTTGATTTCGTGACTTTGAGCCGCATTTGGTTAGCATTACTCTGATGGACTATGTGTCCATGATTATTTTATAGTTTCGAGCCGCATTTAATTAGCATTATCCTTATAAATTGTATGTCCATGTTTGTCTTTATGACACAAACCGCGTTTGGTTATTTATCGTCGTGGACTCACAATTCATATTTGTTAATTATTCTGATAAGTTTCCAAAAACATGAGCTTTGATTATTTGGAGATTTCATATTACATTGGTTTTAATTAAAGATGCTTATTTGTTTTCTTAAGATTAAGTGATAAAGACATTTAATATTATGGTTTAATGGCTCAAGATTCCATTTAAAGATATATGGAAATCTTTTGATTTCAAAGTTTATTAATTATTTTATATGAAATTGTTGTCTTTTTAGTTTATATAACGATTTTAATTTATTCATTTTATTATTTTAAACCTTATTATTATTGAAACGTTATTCATTGAAAGGTATTTGGTTTGGTCTCAAGTAATGTAGCTAATATTGTTCGTCTTGCTAACTATCAAGGGATTTTTTGCTGAGTTGGGTAGAGATTTGTTTTGTAAATATTTCCTTTGAAAGTAATTATGAAATTTATATATTATGTTTTAAAAATATGATTAGATGCTCCATATAAATTGTAATTAGGGTCCTTACTTTTGTCATATACCTTGTCTATTAGTTGGAAAGAGTAGAACTCTTGGTTGTTGAAATTTTCTGCTTGAAATTATATTATAAAATTTTTAGGAGGTCCTGTTTATTGAGAAAGTTCTACTAAAATTTCTTCAAAAATATGAAGGCATTTATTTGAAGGAAAAATATTAAAGATATCCTAAATCCAATACAAATATAATTACAATTTTTTAAAAAAATTTTTAAATTAAGGCTTAAGAGATATGTATTTTATACTTATATCCTGTGCCGGTCACTTTCATATTTTGGGGCATGACAAGTTGTCTAACTTAGTGATAAAATTTTGCATACCCCAATTTTTTTTATATATAATATATAAGATCTATAAAAAATCAAAATATTAAGCATAAAAGAGGATATTTTCATATGAAATAAACTCCCTAATTAAAGTCCACTTTCCTAAAGGAGATGAGTGAAGCTGATGTTCTGTCGATCAGAATTGGCAAGTGTTTCTGTTTAGAGCGGACATTCATAAAGCTTGCAAGCATATTTTAAGCTTCCGATCTATATCATTCGCATAAATGATTGAATATAAAACGATATACTTGACAATAATTGGATGCTTAATCATTTGTCGAGTTTGAAAAAAATGAGGAGTCGATTCTAGCTTACTGTAAAGCCCCGTCAATTGCATGCAGAAATTAATGATCTTTTAAGCTTTGAACTTATTCTTGGGTCCAAGAGAAGCTACTCTGGATTATTAGACTAATACTCATTATTGCATCCAAAAACATATAATTAATCATAATTAATTAATCTATCCCACGTCGATATCATATCTTTAAATCAAATCATTAGAGCACAAAGAGTACAAACAAGCAGTAGGTCCTGTTGTTTTGAAGCATTTTTGCAATATGAATAATGGCATACAAGCTGAGCTAGCTAGCAAGAAGAACTTTTGAACCACTTCAATTTACATGATTTGTCATAATTAATCCAATAGTTCAAGTGATGAAGATGCTGTTACTTGCATTCATATCTCTAAGTAATATTTACTCCAAAATCCATGAATAAAAACTGTTACAACCGAAGTATTTATCCCTCGTTTAAATAAATAAGTTCGCTAATATAATAAGGAAATTAGTTAATGTAATTTATGTTTATTTAATACAATTTGCTTTTTGGACAAAAAAAATACAATTTTTTTAAAAAACAATTGTAAGGCGGGAGACTAGCCAATTTTACAATAGTAAATTAACAATTTTAAATTTCTTAGGGTTAAGAGTTATTTTTATCTCTAAACTGCATATGAAAGATTAAAAATATTTCTAAACTTAATTATGAATCAATTCTGTCTCTCAATTTTAAAGATTCTCTTCATCATCACTTTGTCAATTTTTCACATTACATTTTTTTAATTTTTTATTATAAAATATAAAAAATGATCTTTCAAATAGAAGTTGAAGAGTAAAAATGACCTTTAATCTAATAAAAAAATTAAAAAATAGTGAAACTCACTTATGACTAACAGATGTTAAATATTTTTAATGTCAAAGTGATGACGGAAGGAGTCTTAAAGTTGAGAGGAAAAATTAACTCATAGTTAAATTTATAAGCATTTGTGATCTTTTGTGTAAAAAAAAAAATTCCTTGACTCATTTTCTTAACATAATTTTTAATCAATAAAAATAAATATTTTAATATTTGTATCCAATTAAATAATGAAGAGTTGCAGTACATCTCGATCAATATCACAAAATCCAAGCAAATAGATCCGCATATCATAAATGGGCCAAATGGATAGAATAATGCTTTCATTAAGAGATTGATGCTTACCATTTGTCACGATCACTAGTTTGATCATGGTAAAAAGAATATGAAAATATTTTAGACATAAATACTCAATTAATATTGCCTCAATGACTCAAGTACATATAACCAACCACTATAGCCATAGACATGAAATTATTAGGTAAATGGAAAGCAATCAACATGGAAATATGAACAAGGGGTCAATGTAGAAAAAGCGTACAGAAAGTAGAAGCAGAGCAAAAGTTCAGAGAAAAGCAAACTCTAAGAGGAAGACGGTTCACAAATTCTTTGATAGCCTCTCTAGTACTCTTCTTCAGCTCTTTTTTTTTTTGCATAAACTAATTTGGACCTCTCACGAAGAGACCTTACGGTGATAGCAAAGTACCAATAAGACTACCTCTTTGAAGTCTTGTTAGTTATTGTGTTTGTCACTCTCCAGAGTTCGAACTCTCGCCCTTGGGAATGCCGGTCGTAGTCACTTCTAACTCACTCAAGCCCATTTAATAAAGCTTTGGGTTCATTCTATCCATTAGGCCCATTAGTGACATTTCCTTCCTCATAAAATGGACCTTATCTTCAAGGTCCAAACTTGGAAGAATAACATGAAATGAGCTCAAGGTTGTACAAAAGTTGGATCAAGACCATTATGAGAAATTGAGACGTGATAGGCCCAAGTGCAGTGAATTAGCATCCATGAATAAATAACATCTCGTGCCAAAGGCCATAGTAGCAAGCATCATAAAGGTTTCGGGAATATCCTCAAAGCCCAAGGATGCATTCTTGAATTGGTGATAAACAAAATAGGCCCAAGTAGCTTTCACATGCTTGAACTGTTGTGGCTTTGCCACGAAGGACAGATAGAAATATTGGACAATAGTAGCTCGGACAAAAACAAGCTTTGGAATTTCATTGTCTATCTTGAAGCTTAAATATTTGGTTCTAAAATTTCCTCTTTGCACGATGGCCCAAACAAAGCCTACCCATATAGGAGGATCCAAGCCATTCCAAGAAACAAAATTGTAAAAGACCCTAAAAACTCGATGATGAGTGCTTAATGGAGATGCATATGTAACACATACAAAAAGCATAACAACCTTCTCCATGAAATCCTGTAGAACATTATCTTGATGTTTTTCTTCAATGTCAGTGCCATCCCATGCAATTTGGTCTTCTAAAGAAATGAGAATATCTTCCCACGAAAAATTAAGTAAAGTGGAGGAAATATTGGCAAAATCCCACAGCATTATCCTGAATATTAAACAATGAACAATTCTTGCACTTTGGCCACGCATATATTTGCAATAAATAATTGTATCAGATTCAAAGAATTGGGTTTCAACTATATATGGCTTTATCAACGTGAATAACCGATGCTTTGATAAACAAATTCATCTTGTGATACAGGTCCAATGCTGTCTGCATATGCTCCTCAAACTGTCGTGGTATCTCAAGTATTATGACACGTAGCTTGGGAGCTTTTACCACACACCAACCCATGTTATCCAATGCTTCACAACGGATGAAGGAGAAACAAATAAAGTAATTGGTAATAACGTTGGACAAGAAAGTATATTCTTTCTCCTAGACATCACATAATAAAATAAAAATTGAGGAAATTTTGGGTTAATCTTTTTAGAATCATTTGATCCAGCATGCTTCTCGTTAAATGACAGCAATGGAGCAACAAGTTGAGACTCATCCTTTAGACAGACAACGGAAATCTTATAGTGGAAATTTGTGCCCATGAAATTTATGAGACAAGAAAACGTTATAAGGCACCCTGCAACATCATCTTCGAAGCAAACAACAGCTAAGCGTACAAACTCCCATGAAATAAATGCTAGCATCCAACTTCAGCAATACCAACTAGCTGATGCCTACCTAATACAACGGTACCAAAATCTACAAAATCTTTAAAGACCACAAAGATTAGGCTCTCTATTGAATTTTCATGAGAGAATTTGTGTGTGGCAAAGCAGGTAAAAACCAATTCTGTGTAGCAAATTGTGGAGGAGAAATGAACAACGAAGGATAAGTAACCCGATCAAAGACCATCCTTAAACTCAAGCTAGTAATAGCTTGTTGCTTAATTGACACTTCAGCAAAACCATGAGCCAAGCATGTGAAGAATCAGGAAAATTGTTGGCATTCCATTGATGGTGTGGTAAAACAAGGCATATGGTGTGGCCCTACCTCAAAACTGACATATGCGCAGTAGTTAAGTGATTCCCATTGAACAAGATTTTCAAACTGAAGCACATTCCAGGCATACAAGCGAAATTCATCAAGATTGACAAGACCAAAACCATTGAAATGATCATCTGCACCTCTCCTTAATTATTGCGGGAGCGTTAATGCTATATTCCCTAAAAATTTTGGTAAAATATTCGGCTAGTATAGGTTGGGATAAGTATTTCACAATTATAGAATAGGATTTTGTCTCATGGAGAATATAGGACCTATTTAAAACTATTTTTATTTTATTATTCTGAGAATTGATATTTTGTAAAATATGTTTTGAGAATAAAAAATAATAAAAATATATTTTTTTTATTTTTTCTTATTTTTCAGAATAATAATTCCAAAATATCTAAAAGATATTTTTTTTATTCTCTATAACAATATTTTATTTTTTATTTTTTAAAATATTTTTTAAAAATACGTTATCAAATATATTTTTTTTATTTTTTTATTTAGGAGAACATAAAACTATTATTAAAATAAATTGTCAAATAGGCTCATATTCATTATCTTTTTGCCACAAAAAAAATTGTATAGAGATGCATTTATCATGTCACAGCATGCCAATCATGTCATTGTGCCTTTCCCAACCAATACATTCAAGCCATAACTAGATTCAACAACTAAGTTAAGGCACTGAGCAAGTTGAGTTGGTAGAAAATTGACCTAGCACCAACCATCAAGTCGAAGTTGAACAAAAAATGCTGAAATGAAGTCAGGAGAATCTTTAGCAAAAAGACCTATTGACCTTCAATAGCCTCTCCACTATTCTTCTTCCGCCTGTTAATTGTAATTACATACCTTGATTTCTGCCCCACACAAGCCCATTTTTTATAAAGCTTTGGGTCCATTCTATCTATTAAGCTCATTCATAACACTGCACCAATTTGGCTTTGCACATATGAGATCAATAAAATTAAACATTTTAACATTTTTTATCCAACTAAATAAAGAAGAGTTTTGGCCAAAAAAAAACTAAATAAAGAAAAGTTGCCGTGCATTTTGACCATAAAATCCAAATGGATGACCAACATGGGTTGAGTTAATTGAAAAGGACTAATTTTTTATAATGTGATGAATCAATATTTGAACTCTATTTAAGAGAAGTATTCACATTTAATATTTAATTATATCTCGAATAAAATTTTCTTAAAAAAAAAGATAAATCAAAACAGATGGATCTGCACGAATTACGGCCTTTCTTGTATGAGATCAATCTTGTTATGGATCTAGGTTTATGCGCATAACTCACTGCAGTTACATCAGTTGGGGTAAACTTAATTAAGTTTCTAAAAGGTCCTTTATATTCAACCAGCCGAGCAAAATATTGGGATCTCTTTCAGCGTGACATCTATCTTTTCCTTCAAGATTACTGTTTTGTTTCAGTCTCTAGACTTAATATTTTTCTTTTATTGTTGACATTAACTCCCTTTTTACATGTCATTTTTTAGCTATTTTTTAGTATGTAATTATTGGCTGCTTATTAATATAAGTATCTGACTTTTTATAAAAAAATATTTTTTAACAAAATATTCGTAACGGACTGAAAATGAATATGGGTCTTAAAAAAAAATTCTGCCGGCGAAGAGAGATTTGTTTGTTTTGTTTGTTTGTTGTTGTGGGGGACAGAACCGGGAAAGAGGGTTGGGTAGTCGGCTAGCGGGACAAGGCAGGCAGCATTTATGCGATCTTTACTCGGTTTTTTTTTTTTTTTTTTTAAGACCAGCTGCGATCTTTACTCCTTTCTCGCCGCCATATCTCTGTTAAGTTTTCAAATTCTGGAGCCACCGTTAATCAACGAGTTCCGGGTTTGTCTTATTCTTTTACTTTTTGAGCTTTTGAATTAGCTATACGGATTATGGTAATGTCAAAATTGCTTCTCGCTCCTCGTACTGGCGGTTCTATTTCCCGCAATGTTTATGTGTTTCATGTTAATTTCAAGCCCTGGTCTTCAATTTCTTCATCTGCTTCAGTGGATGAATTAGAGTCGCAGTTAAGATCACTCTTTGAAAACCCTAATCAATTCTCCGAGGCAGTTTCCCTCTTTCACCGTGCTGTTGATTCTAATTTGGTGCCTTCTGGTTCAGCATGTAGCTTTCTCATTGATAACTTGAGGAGGGCGAAATTATATTCCATGGTCTTCTCGGTTTATTCTAAGATGAGCGTTCTCGGTGTCTTGCCGAGTTTTACAACATTAAGTAGTTTGGTTGATAGTTTTGTGAATAACCATAGGCCCAAGTTAGCATTGGGGGTCCTGGGGATGATGATCAAGCGTGGTTTTAAATTTCGTGTGTCTAATGTAAACCAAATATTGCAGGGCTTTTGTAAAAGTAATGATATTGGGAAGGCTATGGACATTTTAAGTGAAATGAGGAGGAATGGTGTCCTACCGGATAGAATTAGTTACAATACACTTATTAATGGACACTGTAAGGCAAAGAATATGAAAGAAGCAGTGAATTTGTTCATGGTAATGCAGCAGCAGGATTGCCCACCTGATATGGTGACCTTTTCCATTTTGATAGATGGTTTTTGTAAAGATGGGGCAGTGGATGAGGCATTGACTATGTTGGAGGAGATTGAGAAGAAAGGTTGGAATGCAGATGTATTTATGTATAATTCACTCATCAGTGGATTTTGTAAAAAGGGAGAACTTGAAAGGGGCAAAGAACTTTATGATAGTATGTTGAGAAAGGGAATTACTCCTGATGCATTCACTTATAACTGTCTAATTCATAATTTTTGCAAGAATGGACAGGGGCAAGAAGCCTCTAAGTTGTTGAATGAAATGACAGGCCGGGGAATTCATCTTAATGTCACTACTTATACGTGTTTAATGGATGGACTTTGCAAAACTGGAAGAGCTTCTAGTGCTATGGAACTGTTGAATTTGATGCAAGAAAAGGAGGAAGAGCCAGGTACTGTTACATATAATGTCATGATAAATGGACTTTGCAAGGAAGGTCACATAGACGATGCACATCAGATTCTGGAAATGATGATCGAGAAGGGGAAGAAACCTGAATAATTACATACAATACATTATTGATGGGACTTTGTGGTTTCGGGAAGATTGATGAGGCAATGGACCTTTTCAAGCTAGTGTTGAACCAGGAATTCCATGTGACCCCAGATGTAAAGACCTTTAATCTTCTAATCAAGGGACTTTGCAAAGAGGAACGCCTAGGCGATGCTGTGGAGATCCATTCTACAATGGTTAAAAGAGGTTTCATAGGTAACATAGTGACTTATAATATATTGATGGATGGGTTTCTAAATTTGGGAAAATTTGATAAGGCCATGGAATTCTGGAAACGTGCATTAGACTTGGGATTGGTTCCAAACTCAGTGACCTACAGTGTTATAATCAATGGTCTGTGCAAAATGCAATTACTCAGCATGGCAAAAGGAATTTTTAGTAAAAGAAAGGATGCTGGGATTAGACCATCAATATACGACTACAATGTACTCATGAAATCTTTATGCAGGGAGGGTAGTTTGGAGCAGGCTAAACTCTTATTTAAACACATGAGAAATGTGAACCATGAGCCAGATGTTGTCTCCTTCAATACAATAATTAATGGAACTCTCAAAGCAGGAGATTATAAATATGCCAATGCATTGGTAGTGGACATGGTTAAAATGGACTTAGTTCCTGATGCTATTACCTTTTCAATCTTAATAAAAGAGTTCTCCAAACGTGGGCATTTGGATGAAGCAAATTCACTGCTTGAGAGGATGATTGCTAGTGGTCATACACCAGATGCCTTTGTATATGATTCCTTACTGAAGGGCAATAGCTCAGTGGAAAATACGGAAAAAATCATTTACTTGCTCCATCACATGGCTGATAAAGGTGTTGTTTTGGACTCAAAATTAACTTGTACTATCATAACTTGCCTTTGTGAGAGCTCAAAAGATTTTAATATAATGGAGATTCTCCCTACTTTTTCGCGGGAAACATCTAAAGGAGCGAGTGTTACGTGTAATGAGCTCCTAATGAAACTGAACAAGGCTCATCCAGAGCTTCTCCTATTACAAACTTCATGATGAATTGTACTTTCAAGAGTGCTTGTTGATCCTATGTTTAGCTCTGTCGTGGTGATCTTGAGTAAGGATCCTATTGTCCTTTTTTCCTTTTAGAAAATAGATTTGGTTGTGATGCTTTCTCTATTGAAATAGCCATATTCTTGAGGTGGTTAGGTTGTTGATTGATTGTTATCTTTATTTTCTGGCATCTATCCAGCCTTCCTCTTTCTCCTTTTTATTCTTCCTGTGTTATTTTCTCCTTCTTTGTCCAATATTATGAAAGTTTTGATGAGTGTCACTAATTAGATTGGGAGAAATTGTAGAATTTTGGAACTTAATTTTAGTAGATCCTGTTGCCCTGGTCTTGAGATGATTATCCAATCAATAATTTGAGTCAGGTCTATTAGAATAGGCTTTCCCTTAATTTCTTTTATATTATGAATGTGCTTTTATTTAATATTTCCCTGATGTGCTGATGATGTTACTTACGCCAATACACTCTGTGAACTTATGCCACTTGGGTACCTATCCTTTTATTTTGGGTTAAATTTAAGAGACGAAGCAGAAATAGATCATGTTATTCACTTTTAGGACACAGAATTTGTAGAAAACGACGAATTTGTTGTTTGAACATATGAGTACCTTATGGGAAAAAAGAATTGAAAATACAATGTGATTGTTGCTATCTCCTTCTTTGCAGATCTTTTTGAAGATGATGCACGCTATTTCTTCTCCTTATGAGAATGAGATAATTCCTTCTGCTGTTTTTGCATTGTATGGTGGTGGTACAGTTGAACTCACAACTTCTACTAGCTGAGAAATGTAAATGAAGGATGCATTTGATTTTAAATGTGATAATTTGTTTTAGCTTCCTTCTGCTGCAAGAGCTGCATGCAATGCTTAAGTAATTATTATTGCTTTGGTGTGGGAGTATTAGATGATTCTCTACGCAAGATAACTTTGAATCAAACATATGATTGTTTACGAAGGAGGTTCAAAAGATTGCTAAGTGGCTAGGTGATCTTTAAGGTGCTTGTTTCTCATTAGTTGTTTGTTTCACTTCGACCTGGGCATGTTTCTTTATTACCTCTGTCTGGGATCCCTGTGGTTGATATTGACAACATTGAGAAGCTTTGTCAGATTTGTTGTGGATATGGGACTTGCGATTTTCAGACTATCCATTTGGTTGGTAGAGAGGATTGTTGTAAGTCTTAAAAGGATGGAGGCTGCTGTCCTAATAATGCGGTGTCAAAGTCAAATAATATTACTCAACCAGTTTAAGTGGCCATGGCAATTTTCTTCAGAACCTAATTCTCTGGGGCTAAAGTTTGCTGGTAACGATTATAGGCTGGCCGATGTTATTAGGTATCCTTGATTTCATTTTTGTATCTTATTATATTCCTTGGATTTCTCTTGTTCTTTTGCATGTCGATCACTTTATGTACTTATGGTAATGCAGGATATTGTATTGGGAAGAACTTCTAAAAGTACAAACAGTCCTCGGAATATATAAATATGTTCCAGCGCTAGAATTGGAATTAATTCTGCCTCCAAAACTGGCTATGAACTGAAATTGATTCTCCTTGATAAAGTGCCTAAAAGCAGATTGACTGTCCTATCTTTATGTACAAAATATACAAGTTAACTAAATTAATTATGGCATTTCCAAGGTGGAAAAATTAGTTTCGGTCACTTTTCTCACGGTATTTAATACGCCAACTGTTTTTGATGTTGTTCTCTTGAAAGGTGAGGCATCCCTCTAAGATCTGGACTTTTATTTGTAAAGCGTTGCCCAATAGGATTAATATAAATGACGTGTCACATTTTTGTAGGACTCAAATGGCTGTTTCCTCTGAAGGTGTGTACTGAGATTTTGCAGTTCGGAGACAACAGTAACATTTTCTGACATTCGAGGTAGCTTGGAATGTTCGAAATCAACTTTTTATGTTTTAGGCACAGTGAGTAAATAAATCTTTTAATCTATTTTGTGTTAAAGTACATTTTTTTCTCTATTCTTTTTTTCAAGGAGTGCTAGGCATCATGTAGAGGCATTTTTTCCTCTAAATTATTTTTTAGAAGAGTAAAGATCTCCCTCAGTTATTGATCTATTAACAGGGGGGATTTTTGTTCCTCTAACAAATGGTTGAGGTAGAAAAATGTCCCACTTATTAGTACAGGATATTCATTGCCCCTTGAAAGAAAGTGTAACGGTAAAAATGTACTTTAACCCATCTATTTTAGAGTTTCGTTTTCAAGGAAGGGTTTTAAGATCCTTTGGTAGTCTGATGTTCTTGAGTGGTTGTAGTGCTTATAATTGGATAATTATGGCATGGGTTTATATCTCTTTCTGTCGCATTTCTTGTGGGAAATAATTGTTTATGTGGCTTCTCTGTGGTTATCAGTCATGGTCACTTAAGGATTTGCTGAGAAATTGGTGAGGTCTTTGTAATATGATTTTCTCTTGTCCTTTTGTTTTTGTTGATCATCTGTTTTAGAGGATTTCCCGGCTTCCTAGTTGTCAGGGATAGTTTTGTTTTTTGGAAAGTTTATTATGCACTTGAGATTTCTAATGTGAAACTCATAACATGTTACTTAAACAATTTCTATTTTAATACTTTTATTCAAGTAAGGATAGAAGGGTCATTTTCTCTCAAAATCATGTTTTTCCATTTCATTTTGAAGCTCTGGCTATTTGGAAATTACCCTCAAGAAAGCTTCAATGTTTTCTCATACATTAAACAACTTAGGACCAAACTAATGTACGTTTTTTAACCCATAATCTAGCTCTTCACAGGAAAGGGAGATTCAGACGCTCACGCACACGCGCGCGCACAGACATGTTAATAGCTAGCTATCCCAGTAGCAACACTATCTTCCATGCTTGGTAGAGGTATTAACTTGTCACCCACCTCATCAATTCAGTCATTTACTTTAAGTTAATACTGTTTATAAATTTCTAATGTTTCTTTCCCTGATTTCTGTTAGGTTGTAACTTTGGTGTACACTGGGCAGCTATTGACAAAGAAGAATTGTGTTTGGGCCATATCTGTTATGCTATTCTGCAATTCTGGTACTATACCATCATTGGTTGTTTTTTTTTTTAATTGAAAATTTCCTTTTTTTTTTTGGCTCTTCCATCCTTTACGACCACTACTATCACCTGCTTAATTTGATTTGATGAACATTACAATTTAGTTTTAGGAACATACTCAAATAAAAATATTGAGTTAAAATACTGATGGGAAGAATAAGAAAAAAAAAAATAAAGATATTGAAGATTTGAGAAGATTGAAAGATCAAATATATTTTATTAATTAAGAACATTTTGTTTCAATTGTCATAATATTTGAATTATTGTTGTCTTTAAATATTTATTGCTATCTTTTCATTCAATTTCAATATTTTTAGAATTTCTTGCATTTATTTTTAAGGTTAAGGTTGAGGCATGCTTTAGCTCATTTGATTTGTACACACATTTGATTAAATAAGAATTATTATTATATTGCCTTTGCTATGAGTTTTCTCTTCTCTCTGTTCTCTCTATTGATCCCTTTCTTTCTTTTCTATATTCACTCCTTCTATTCCTTCCCCATTCTGCATCAATTGCTATTAGAGCCAAAGTTCCCACCACTCTACTTCTATTATCAAACTTCTTCTTAGTACCAATAATCATTATACGAAAAGGCTTTGAAAGATAAGTTTATAACTTAAGACTCCTTAAGTTACTCGGTAAAGTCCTAAATCTTAAGTCCCTTGCTATTTGTCTTCTTTCCTTATTCCATTTGTCTATTATTCTTTTTTGTTTTCACTTTCCTTTACTTTAAACCATTCTACTATATTTTCTTCCTTTTGATATTATTTTGTTTTTCATATTTTGTTTCCTTCCTTTATTTATTCCATTTTTCCTTTCCTTCATTCACTCCTTTGATTTGATCCTTAAAAAAATTCACCTTATAAATAGTTATCTATCCTAGGTTAATTGAAGTTTCTATTGGTTTTCCTGAGGGGTTTTCAAGTCCCCTAAGGTCGCTGTGAAGACTTTGCTTAAATTGTTACTTATTTAATATGTTTGATCCTTGAGGAACTTTTGAGTTCTCGAAGGGTTAGAATTGTTGAATAGGGTCTTCATCTTTTAGGTGAGGGTAACTTGGGAACCTTTGTCTCAAATAGGATATTTGAGCCTCCCAATAAAAAAAAAAAAAATCTCACCTTCCATTTCCTACAATCACAAAAAAAAAAAAATCACCTTCAATCATGATATTATGGCCTCACTTAATTAAGTCGATATGATTATATTAACTATCATCAATATAATTATCATTGTCAATATGATTATGTTGATTTTCACTACTATGATTATGCCAATTATGATTAATGTTACTATCAATATGATTTGGTGGATCAACCAGACTTGAATTTCATATGTTCACGTTTTGAACTTGTGAAAGATAAAATTGATGAACTCCAAAGCTCCATTCGATCCACATTAAAAGAAGGGCATTTGCTATCAAGTTGAGAAAGAGAAGTTATATCAAAAGAAAATTATTCCTAATCCTTTTGATAGTATCTTAAAACATAGAGACCCTAATATTTTGACTTCTGAAGGAGATAATATGTATAACCAAGACCATATGTACCTATATTAGTGGTGCTAGAGAGTAATATCACTGTTGATTTTGAGATTGAGGCATGTGATGACATAAAAATTAAAGTTTGGTTGAATCATATTGAAACTTTTACTCTTACCCTAGATATAAGGATTGTTGACATTCAAGAGGCAACTCTCAACCAAGAAGAAGAGAAATTATGGAAGAAAATTTTACACATGGTAGCTAAGAATTTTGAGGCAATTAATGATGGTATCCAATTTCAACCGGCTCTTGCTCTGCCTAATTCGTCTCCTATGCCCTTTAGTACTGATGTTATTGCAAATATGGAAGCACATACTGTTCTTGAACCATATGATCCTGTCCAATATTATTTTATAAACTGGAAAGGATTTTCAGATTTGCATGTTGTGTTCCTATATGCTCAGATTGTTCGCTATTCTCTTGATGCCATTTATTGGTATCTAATTTGCTGAAAAGGGTTTCTGCATGAAGACACAACTTGAAATCTCTTGATCTCATCATACTCCCAGAGAATATCTACAATTTTACTCTTCGGAGGAGAGTTCTTCAAGCAGGGGAGAAATGATGGGAAGATTAAGAAAAAGAAATAATTAAAGTTATTGAAGATTTGAGAAGATTGAAAGATCAAATATATTTTATTAAGATATTTTATTAATTAGGAATATTTTGTTTCAATTGTTGTAATATGTGAATTATTGTTATCTTTAAATATTTATTGTTATCTTTTCATTCAATTTTAGTATTTCTAGAATTTCTCACATTTATTGTTAAGGTTGAGGTTTATATATAGCGCTTTAGCACATTTGATTTATACATATATTTGATTAAATAAGAATTATTGTTATCTTGTTTCTGTTTTGAGTTTTTTCTTCTCTCTATTCTCTCTATTAATCTCTTTCTTTTTTTTCTTTTTTTATATTCACTCCTTCTACTCCTTTCCCGTTTGCATCAAATATGTTGCATGAGAAGTGCAATTAGTTACTTAAACGAATTTCAGTGATAAAAGAGGAAATAATTACTTTAATAAAAAGGTTTAGCATATTAAGCGCACAAAACTACAGAAATAACATGAACACATCAATTAGTGCATGCGTAATTTATAGGAAGTTTTGCATAATCTCTATTTTTTTTCATTTTAAAGAGGTGGTGTTTTTTTTTTTAATCAAGAGTTGTATTATAAAAATGTTGCTATCATGTACTGATAAGTATGAAAAAAATGCTCCCCCATCTTACGATACACGCCCTTTTGGAAGAAAGATTTTATTTCGTATAAAAAACTTGAAGCAATATTTATTAATATTTATCTTGTTATCGGATGTCCCCGGAGGGACATTAATATTTCTCTTGTTATTAAACGGTTTACTTCAACCATTTTAAATGAGAGGCAAATTTTCAAATGTCACTCACGTTTGGCCCAAAAAAAAAAAAAAAAACTCTCTCCCCCATTTATGGCAACATTTCTTCGGGATCCTTTTTGTTAATAATAATTTCTTCCATATCCTTAGTATAAGGTATCTTAGCTAAGACGATTCTTTCAATTACTTTCAATAATGAGATGTTAAAGTATGCAATTAGTTTTTTAATTTTATACAATGTTTAATTTTGAGTCTTTTAATTTTATGAAGTATATTTTTAGTCTATAAACATAATACTATTTGTTTTATATTAACAAATTTTAATATTAAACTTTTAAATGTTGACAAAACATTATTAAATATTGATATATTAATTTTAATTTTTTTAAAATAATAATGATTGATATAAAAAATGTTCATTTGAAATAAAAAATGTTAGGGTTAAAGAATGGAAAATATACTTTATAAAATTAAAGGATCAAATTGAAACATTATATAAAATTAGATGATTAAAAGTATACTTTAACTATAATGAGAAGCAAATAAGAACTGATAATTCAAGGTAAAAAAATAAATAGCAACCGATAATTTATTGAATCAATTACTCCCTCAGAGTCTCTACCTTTCAATTTCACTTTTTTTAGGTTTTTGGCCTCTTATTTTATTATTTAGAATTTAGAATTAAAGTGTTGGTTTTTCATTTTTCCCAACTATACCTTCTTCAAGTGTCTATAATATCTCTAATCTCGACAGCGTCTCTTTAAAATATTCATTAAGTGAGGGTATTTTGATCTATATGCAGTTAATATTTCACATTAATTAACGGTCTTTTTTATCATGTAAGCAAAACCTTAAATTAAAAAAAATTAAATTAACAGAGTATTAACTTCCTCCAATTTTTCCTTTGTATCTATTTTTTAATTAAGGCGTTTGAAATTAAATAAAAATGTCTCATTAATAGATTATTTTTTTCTAACTTTTCAAATATATCTTAATTTCTTAATGATATACAAATATAGAGAATCTTTGTGGTATAAAAGATGAGCATCATCCACAATATCCTTAAATGGATAGGATTCCGCACAACCTCTGGTAACAAGCAAAATAAATGCAATACAATCACAATAAAGGAATCAAGTGGTATAAGAAAGAGTATAGTGTGTAAATTCAGATTAATTCACCTGGTTAAACTGATAAATTATTAAATTTGTATTTTGATTAATTTAATAAAATATTTTGTTTATGACTTGATTATGATTTCACTATAGTTTTAATTATTAACCATTATCCATTAATCTTTAAACCAATTTCTTGACCAATTTAATAACCAATTCAGTTTTTAGTATATTAAAAAAGAGTTACAAAAATGTGATGATGGTATAGATTTTTGTTTTGTTTTATTAACATCATAAATCAACACATGGATATCTTGAGTTCTCCACTAACGAATACAACTTTTCATGTCATTTGAATACATACATGTATGTATGTAGATGAAGGTGTAAGTTTAATCATAAACTATTTTTTAAGAAGTGTTGAAAATCTTATACTATAGGGTGATACAAAATAAATCAATTATTTAAAACAGAATGCCCAACACCTTCTGTTAAATTTTGACAAATGGTTGTTATCTTTGACGAGTTTAGTTTCCATGCTCATCCTTAGGATGAGGACTAGATGGTCCATATTTAATGTATTATTATATATTATATTTATTAAAAAATTATAAAATAATTTTAATAAATTTTTTATTTTTAATCTAGTCTAAATTTATTTTATCAGGTCTAATTTAACATTAAAATTTTTATAATTAATGTATATTGATTATTTAGGTATACTCTGCACTGTCTGAACTGTGTAGAATAAATTTGAATAATCAATATGCATCAATTATAAAAAAGTTAATATTAAATTAAACTTTTTAATTAAATCTAGACCAATTAAAAATAAAAATTTTTTAAAATTATTTTATAATTTTTAGAATTTTTTATTTTAATAAATATAATATATAACAATATAATAATACTATTTTAAATTTGAACCATCTAAATTAAGAATTTAAATAATTTAAATCTCATTTTAAAGATGAGCTGATATCTTTGAGATGAGTAGGAAACCAATTCCTATCTTTGACTGGAATAAAGAGCTTGCGTACCATGTCTGCACTGTCATTGTCTCTCTGCCTTCTCTTCTCCCTTCCACAACACCTCTCACGTGCATCAAGCCATTAGAAGATCACAAACTTGATTTGAACAAGTGCCAGCCTCAGACACGCACATCAACTCTCTCACTCACATAAACGCCGAAATCTCAAGCGATAAGCCACAGTTGTGCAAGCGAGTTGACAATTAATTCACATCCAACAACACGTTTTTATTGTTGATAAATGATAAAAGAAGATAGAAACTGATTGATTGTGGGCTTCCCATTTCCCAACTGATAAAGGGAAGAAAAGAAGGAAACTTCTGAATGATAGCCATGTAATAATGTTCTTACTAATTTAAATTATAAAATACTTTTAAATAAATTTTTATTCACCAATAAATCTCATTAAATACACTTAATAAATTTTATTTTTTTAAAATAAAAATAAAATTTTTTAAAAATATCCTTCATTTAATAATCTTAAATCTTTACTTAATTAATATTAAATAGAAATAAAGAGAGGATAATATTAAAATTAGTATATTTAATAAAAAGTTAATATTTTTAAAGTGTCCTATATTCTGTGGCAGCAAATTTCTTTTAAAAATGTCTTATATTTTGATATGAAAGGGGTACCTAAATACCCACATTATATGTAGTATTTTGGTTCTTTATATAAGATGACTTACGGAGTATTAATTATGCTTTTTAATATCACTCATATTTAAATTCATTAATTATGATAGAGAATGTAATGTAATTTTTAAAAAAATCATTTAATAAGGCTAAAATGAAAAATTATTCTCTTTTTAAACAAAAGTGATAATTTAATTACCTTTTCTAAATTAAGTTGTAAAATATATTTAATAAACATTGTTGATATATGTGATTTACAATTTGGGATGAAGAAAATACTATGTTAATTTAATATATTGTGTTAATAAATAATAAAATAATTGTAAAGGGGCTACTATCATCAATAAATACATAAAATAACAAAATATTTTAAATTAAAATGTATTAACTTCCTCCAAGTTTTCCTTTTTATCTTTTGTTTAACGAAGACGTTTGAAATTAAATAAAAATATCTAATTAATATATTAATTTTTTTCTAACTTTTTAAGTGTTTCTTAATTTCTTAATGATATAAAAATATTTATTCCAAGGTAAGAGATTACGGATGGAGTAATAATGTGATATTTCATATCTAGTGTTGATTAGAGGATTTTAGTTAGAATATCAATGTTTTAAACACCAATTCATTGTATATATTTGGACAAAACGGTTCACATGTCAATGATGATGTAATAGTAGTTGAACATTTTGCAATTTTTATGGATAATGTAACTTTTTGTCTTTTATATTTAGTTTCTTAAGTTTACTTTAATTATTAATTTAGTTTTTATTATTTAAAAAAGAGGTTATACTATTAAATTTTGCTAACTTGAAGAACAAAATATTGATAGCAACCATGAGGATTAAAGAAAATGAGTATAATTATTTAAGTATGAAAAAATAGACTTTAAAGTTTTAAAAAAGAAGAAAATAAAACATGTAAGATCTCCTTTACTATTCCACAATTAACTTCATAATTGAGGTAATTATAGGACTAAGTCAAGTAAATTATCAAGTTTGTAAAATTTATATAAATGGGATCCTAAGTTTTTAAAATTTAAAATGCTATAAAATCATTTAAAATCATTTTTTTAAAAAATAAAATTAGAGCAAAACATGTATACGGAAGTATGGATATTTTACAAGGTAAGATAATATCAAATTAGGGTCAACATAGCAAAAAAAAAAAAAAAAAGAATTCTGGAACAATTATGCTGCAACATTAAATTTTATGTTGTAGTATAAACTGCAAAATCCATGACAACAAAAAGCTGTTATGGCAGATTTCTTGCACGAAATTCTGATGTGTATCAAATTTTCGTCCAATGTCTGATTGAGATGATCTAGCTATTTACAAAAAGCTTTCTTCAAACTCTAGCTAATGGCACTGATTTCACATTCAAATCATTTTTTAATTAAAAGTTGGACACTAAAATACAAACTTACCTATTTATGCTTTCAAAACTTAACAAGAGTGTTCAAAATCACAATCAAGTGCCATAAGCTCATAACAATCCTTAGACCATACTCAATAGACCCTATGGGACTCCTGCAATACACCATACTCAACCAAATACATGTATCATAAACTCACCACTCAATCTCATAACACATAAAAT